TCGTCAACAACCTCAGGGAGAGTGCCCGCACTCCCCCCGAGGCTTGGGGGCTACTGTCGGATACTACAAGAAGGGGTACCCTAAACAAGAACCGAAAATATTGCTTAAGCCTTGCAAAAATCAAAGCCAAAGGACAACCACGAGGTCTCGACAGATTCTTCGATTCGCCCGAGGCTTGCGTCGAGGCCTTAGACGAAAGGCCAAAACTCTCCGCCCCGTCGAGGCCCTCTCGCCAAGGCCCTCTCGCCGAGGCCCCCTCGCCGAGGCCCCGCCCCGCAAGGCCTCAGACGGGATACCAATTCTCCGATTCGCCTGAGGCTGGGCTCGGCAACAACCTCGTCACCTCTGTCCCGACCGACTCCCCTGACAAAACGTCACGTCCAGTTAATGCGCCCAACTACTCCCGCAACGTCAGCCGCACGTTGGCGCAGTATAGGCAGAGTGACCGACGGGACAGGGGACCGGGCGCAGCAGGGGTTACCTGCCACTGTGCTCATCACTGTGCCCCCTGCTGACACTCGTACTGCCCTGTGTTACCTAACTCCTGTGTCAAGGACAAAGCGGCGTGGAGGGTCAAGTCCGGATCCCTGTAGTCTCGGAATCAGCATGAAAGACCAACTGATCGCCTCCGCCTCGTCCGAGACCCCCCGGCAGGGCCTCGGACGTACTATTCCTTCTCCGCCTCGGCCGAGGCCGGGCTCGTCCCGCATCCTCGTTGCCTCCGCCTCAACCGTCCCTCTGGCGAGCCGTCCCATCCCCTTAAAGTGCACCTGGTCACACCTACTACGTTAGCCACGACTAGCAGGGTACAGCAACAGGGGCGATAGGACAGCGGTCAAATCTCCTTTTTACCATCCCTACTGACGGTGTAGGGATTACCGTGCCCTGTGGACACACGCTCCGCACTTTTTTACCTGAACCGGGTACGACACTGACCACCGAGACCCCCGCATCATACACGGGTCACCTCCGAGGCCTCGGTAAAGCAGGCCTCGGCACGATCAGCTACAGCACTCGCCAAGCCTCGGCACTCCACGGAGTCAAAAATCCACAAGGCACGGCATGTCTCCTACAGTGGAGGCCATACTGACTAGACATCAACAAGGACCCCCACGACCTCAACAACTTCAAGCCTGGCCAGCACGACGCCCCAGTCAGGTACCGATCGTCGTTCCCAACACCATGCTGCCACATGACTGAACTACAGTAGGCTCCACGCGTAGCTCTCTCATGTACTCCTGGCTCCCTCCTTGCAGCTATAAAAGGAGACAGCCAGGGCTGTTTCTAAAAAGAGGAGAGACCACGCTGGCACTCATGGGTATACGCGCTCACAGTGACATCGAGGGAGAAGACAGACGAGCATTCGCATAGACTCACGTAGATTCACGCACACTCTCCCGCTGCCTGAGAGCAATGACTCAAGCAGCCTGCACCGCTCCACGCTGAGACCTGGGACTAGCTCCCTCTCTCACCCAGCTTGTAACCCTCTACTACAAGCACTTCGGTGCAAGGAATACAAGATCGATCCCTCAGACTGGACGTAGGGCACCGATTGCCTGAACTAGTATAAACCTTGTATCTCTTTGCATCAGCATCCAGGATTAGGGGCACGCCGTTCACATTTACTAGTTGGTTGAGGACCCCCCGGTCCGAAACACCGACAGATGGACACGCTCGGCTTGCGCCCATACCAAGCTTCGAACGACGTCTTGCCCGTTAGGGCCTTGGTCGGAGAGCAGTTGAGGATGAACACCGTCATGGTCACCGTCTTACCCCAGAACCTTGTCGGCATGCTGTTGGCCTTCATCATGGATCGAGCCATGCTGACCACTGTCTGGTTCTGCCTCTCCACCACGCCATTCTGTTTTGGCGAGTATGGCACGGTGTGGTGTCGCACCACACCCTGATCCGCGCAGTACGCAGCGAACTCCACCGAAGTGAATTCGCCGTCGCGATCAGTCCTCAGCACGCAGAGCTTCTTGCCGCTCTCGGCCTCCGCGCGCGTCTTGAACTTCTTGATCGCCGCCGCCGCTTCGTCCTTGCTCGTCAGGAGTTGCATCCACATGTAGCGACTGCAATCATCCACGAGCAGGAGGAAGTACCACCGACCACCGTTTGTAGCTGGCGTGATCGACCCGCAGAGGTCGCCGTGGACGAGCTCGAGAGCGTCCTTCGCGCGATACTTGGCCGCCTTTGGGAATGGTAGCCTCCTCTGCTTCCCGGCCAGGCAGTTATTACACAGCTCGCCTCTGTGCTTGATGTAGGGTAGCCCTCGAACCATCTTCTCTAGCCGACCAAGCGCGTTGAAGCTGAGATGTCCGAACCGGGCATGCCACAGCCACGGCTCCTTGGTGTGCCTTGCCGCCGGGCACACCGGCTGCTCTACCTTCAGGTTGAGCAGGTACAACCGGGTTAGGTACCTCTTCACCTTGGCAAGAAGTCGCTGCTCCCGGTCCTTGATCCTAAGGACTCCGTCCTTGATCAGGACCTCGCTACCGCGCTCATCCAGCTGACCAATGCTGATGATGCTGGAACGCAGTTGCGGGATGTAATATATATCCGTTAGTGCGCGGTGCTCCCCGTTCTGGCACCTGAAGATGATGGTGCCGCGCCCTTAGATAGCCACCCTTGAGCCGTCACCAAACTTCACCGTACCAGTAACATCGTCGTCGAGCTCGGAGAAGGATGCCTTGGAGCCCGTCATGTGGTTGTTGGCACCAGAGTTCAGATACCACCGCTGCTCTTGGTCGGCGCCCACACGTCCGAGGTGGACTTGGGCGCGTGGTTTGTCGATGTTGATAGTCTTCAGGGCCTTCCCAGGTCCTTCCACCGTCGTCGCCTCCTCCCTCTCCTCGGCCTCGACGTCGTGCAGTGCACAAAACGTCGCCATCAGGATAGTGGCCTCATCTTCATCATCAGCTTGCGCCAGATGAGCCCCAGCCTTCTTCTCCTGCTTGCGATTTAGGCACTCCCGTGCCAAATGGCCCGTCTTCCCGCAGCGCCGGCAGGCGTTGTGGTTGACCTGCTTCTTCTTCTCCGAAGAAGCCCTGTCGCGGCGCTTGCCATCGCCACCGCGGCTGGAGGAGGTTGCCTTCCCGGAGTTCCTCCGAGCAGCCCACTCCTCTTCTGTCAGCAGCAGTTTGCCGCTGTCCTTCGTTGCTGTCGCCTGCTCCAGGCGCTCGTCCACCTTCCGTAGACGGCCTATCACATCCTCAATGGTGAGGGTGGACAAGTCTAGCATCGTCTCTATGGAGAGAGCGATCTGGGTGTACTTTGCCGGCACGGAGTGGAGGTACTTGGAGACCGCCTCCTTTTCGTCGATGATGACGCCATGGCTCTTCAACTTGCTGATGAGCATCTGCAGGCGGAGGAAGAAGTCCTCCACCGTTTCACCATCCTTGAACTTGAGGTTGGCGTACTCCTGCTTCAGAAGTTGGGCCGTCGCCTTCTTTGCGCGGTCGGAACCGACGCGCATCGCCACAATAGCCTCCCACGCCTCCTTAGCAGAGCTCTTCGTCCCCAACGGCTCCCTGTACTCTGCCGGTACAGCAGCGAGGATAGCCTCCAACGCTGATATGTTATCTTCCTCATTATCGGTGCCCTTGTTAACAGCATTCTAGAGCCGTCGGGCTCTGAGCTTGACCTTCATGGTCACCGACCACTCTCCATAGTTGGTGCGAGTCAGCGTCGGCCAACTGGTGTCGCTGACCTCCCGCACCGTGCGAACAACGACCTCCGGTCGTGGCTGGCAGCCACAGCAGTGCCACTGCTGTCGCCCATTTCTGAACCGTTCGTCATCGCCAGCGGTTAGTCCGGCGACGGCGCTTGTACGGCTCTGATACCACTTGTTAGCCCACAGGATCACCGGCTCAGGTGAATGAACCACTCACCAGTCTTGCCGAGCACCCACTAGTGTTGCCGAGCATCCAGTAGCTAAGCCGACCACGAACAAGCGTTGTTCGTTCCCACACACTATGGCTAGAGGTTGAAGAAGAGGGAGAACAGAGCATACACACACAGTATAAGACACCAGCGATGGCCGAAGCCCTGTATGGGAGATGGCAAATCTGAACTCTCTTTACTGAGTTGCCATGGTAGTCTATTTATACAACTCTATCCATCTAGTCCTAGTACAGCGCACATGCTGTAACAGTAACTAGCGCCTGTCCCTGCATATGGCTACAGTGCGGCAGGTGAGCCGTTCGGCGCCTGCCTCTGACAACGGCTACAGTACCACAGCAGGAGGCCTTTTCGGCGTCGCCTTCCCTTGCTGTGTGTTCACACAAGGAAGCAGTAGATTATCTAACAGTATATATATTTCAAGTGCAGATTGTTGTCGAAGAGTTCAGTGAGGCAACAAACTTTTTACCACACCCTACTTCCTAGTTTCTATCGTGAGTTCTTCTACTCTACTCTCATAAATAAATGAAGTGGGAGAAATATATGCATTCTAGTCCTCTTAATATATATAGCGATGCTTGGGAATATGAAAGTCATCATCTTAGCAAATGCTGGATTCCTTTAATGAAACAGTTATGTATAGGCACAGATATACCAATGGACATTATGCTTAACACCACATATAAAACAAATCTTCCTTTTCCAAAAAACATATAAAACAAATAATATCAGAAGCATAAAATATAATTTATCAGGTATAAATGAATTTTGAATGGAGTTCTTATCAGTGCATCCTGCCCTTCTTATGCAGGCAGAAGATATTGAAGGAGTAGAGCTGTGTGGAACTCTGAAAAATATAGTGGCTATTGCAGCAGGTTTTTAATGGATCAAGTGTTTCGTGTGTTTACATCCATTGTTTGCTTTAGACATTTTATTAATGGCTTATTTGGCGGAATTGTCTTGCAGGCCTTGTTGATGGCTTGGATATGGGAAACAATACAAAGGTTCCAATTTAACACATTTCTAATAAAAGATATGGTTTTCATGGCATCGCGTGATCTTATTGCCTCTTTTCTTTCCCTTTTTGTTAGGCTGCAATAATGAGGATTGGTTTGCGAGAAATGCGTGCTTTCTCTAAGCTTCTGTTCCCTTCAGTCAGAGATAACACATTCTTTGAGAGCTGTGGTGTCGCCGACCTAATAACCACATGCCGTATGTATCTTCACCGTTGCCAATTAACCATCCAACAGATAAATACTGAAAAGTGAGTGTTCCATGACAGTTGGCGGGAGGAACAGAAGAGTGGCTGAGGCCTTTGCACGAAATGGTGGCAAAAGGTTTTTGCTTTAAACTACACATTTCCGTTTTTTAATATCCCCCAAAACAGTCTGGCGATGTTCATGGCCTATATTAAATTGGAGAGTTTTCTCATGTCCTGCGGTTGTATAGTCATACCATCTTATTGCTGATACAGGTCTTTTGATGAACTGGAGGCCGAGATGTTGCGTGGCCAAAAACTCCAGGTAAAGCAAATATATGATGCCATGCATAGAGAAATTTTCTCAGTGCAGCTAATTTCTTTAATTTTACAGGGAGTGTCCACAGCAAGGGAAGTCTATGAAGTCTTGACTTATCGAGGATTGCAGGAGCTGTTTCCTCTGTTATCCACAGTGCATGAGATTTGTATTGGACAATTGCCTCCTACATCAATAGTTGAATACAGTGAGCACACGCCCAACCTCTCCATCATCGGTGGTCCTACTCCATTCTACTGAGCTAGATACTGCAGTTTGGACTCCTGCTCCAGTTCTCAGTATCACTTGTTATAAACTAAGCAAGCTGAGATATACTCAATATCTGAAACTGTTTTGCATATAAATATGATTTCAGTCATGTCACCTTATTAGGTGCATGACTTTATGAATCTGTGATTGTGTATCCAGTTAGTTTCCTATTAATACTAATTGAACATCAGTGAATGAGGATCAGCTTATAGTTTGTATTGAAGAAATATGTGGTATTATTCCAAAAAGACAGCTCAAGATCAAGAACTATACATTTTTCTCTTCATATGATACAGTTTATCATAGTTGTAGAAATTGCTCTACTAAGCCATAAATGTATTGCCAGTTATACTGCATAACTAAGCAGTTAATGAATAGTGGTTAACTCGTTACCGATTTTTAGCTCCTGGAGTTTACATCAAGCACTGGCATCTACTCAACTGGGTCGTTTTTTTCCAATTGGTGCATAATCCTGTACCAATTGAATTACTTGTGACATTTGACGTGATAGACCTTCTATATGGTTTTCAGAACTTTGACATTGGGATCATTTGTACTTGGATAAAGTCCATTTTTGTATATTGGAAAACTGCAGTATAAATTGTCAGCCAATTCAAATTCATCTCTAATACTCTAAATGGAAGGAACCCAAGATACTTATAGTTCATAGTTTGGGGTGGCTAATAATAACTTGGCAAACTATGTAACCATAAAATCCAGAGTGCGATAGATGTCGCATCAAGCTCTTCTTTAGACTTATTGTGTCCACCCATGTCCCTTATTAGCAGAGGCTTCAGTAAGTAGGTTTGTGGATTTTTATTTTAAAGGAGGTCTGTGGATCTTCCTATGCTACTTTTCTTTCCTCCAAAGTCTTAAGTCTGTTAATGGTATTGTACACTAAAATTTGTGTTCTGGAGCAGACAATAATTGTTTCTTAGTAAAACATGTATGGATATTCCTTTGTGATAATGTAAACATAAATTGGTAAGTTCACATCAATGTACCTTTCGAACACTTGTTGGTGTCCTCTGTCCTTATACTGCTATGCGGTCATCTGTCAGTTATGCTTCCTCCTCGTGTTTGTCAGCCGGCCCCCTCCCCACCCCCACCCCAACACACACAAAAAAAAATCATTTGTTTCTTATATTCCTGGACATATACTTCACTTAGTATTTTCCTGTCAATAGCCAATCATAGGACATTTTAGTAGCATTTGGCAGAGTTACAGTTCAGCAAAATGCCAAAACCATAACTGAAAGAACACGAGAATGTTTTATCTTGTTTCCAAAAGTTATTTTGGTCAATTTATCCTGCATAAAGCTAATATGAGAACAGCTAAACAGAATTTTATTGGCCTGGTTGATTTTTCTTTTTGCTCAAAACAGGTGCTATCGTATTAGCGTTACTGAGACATTAAGATTCTTCTTTTCTGTGCTGACATGAATCAGGGAGCAAGTGAAGGTGGCATGGAGAACAATTTTTGGTTTATTGAAGACCTTTCAGTCTGAACATTCCATTCCTTGGTAGTGGCTAATTCGTTCCATGATATCGCTTGGTACATCAAGTCTTGCTCAGGGAATTCATTTATCACAGGCTCACAGCATATGGAAGAAGTCATCAGATGCACTATCTGATACTCCCTCTGTCCCAAAATAGAAGTCGTTCTCGTTTGCCGAGAAGTCATCTTTTTTTAACTTTGACCAATTATATAAAAGAATATTAATATTTATAATATATATTTAGTATCATTAGATAGATCGTTGAATGTACTTTCATAATAAACGCATTTGAAGATATAAATGTTATACACATTTTGTATAAACCTAATTAAATTTGAAAAAGTTCTGCACGTATGCCATAACGACTTTCTTTCTGGGACGGAGGGAGTACCTGTTTGTAATAGATACTGATGGTGCTATCATGTCTTTTTTGTTGGATATAGCAGTGGAATCATATGCTATTTACAACAGTTCAGATATTACCAGAGAACCGCTTTTGTTATCATCTTGCAATAGCTTTGTTGTCTGGGTTCCAGTTTAGATTCGCAACGGCAGTCGACTTCTTCATTAGCGCCCAGTCTGCAGACATTGAGATATCAGAAAGGCTTACTTCTGGTTTTCCATTACTTAGATCCTTTCTGTAATCTGGGGATTAAACACAACAATTGTGATCTCAGAAGAGCTGAATCCTGACTGCGGAGTCCACGAGCTACACGTATGAGCATTGCTTCTTTGATGCACTTACACACCTACACTGTGTGTAAAGCCTGTGGATCGTGCCACTATTGTAATATAAAAATATATAAAATTCTGAATGTTTCAAAACTTAGCCAACTTCTAGTTCAAATTTCCTTGCACGGACATGTTTGTGATGAATGCTGCAAACTCTACGAACACCCTTGTGTTGAAACTACTGTTGTAAGAAGGGGGGGGACCTACAGGATTGTAGTCACTTCCAGAAGTACGCGCCAAAACATATCTCGGTTAGAACAGGGGAGAACACAGAACAAACCGCACCAAACAACAAGGTAAATCGCTACATTCTTCAGAAACAAATAAAAATATAAGAGAACAGCCATCAATTCCATTCAAGTCTCACTTTACCAATAGACGTCTCACATAACCATTCGACAGCAAAGACTGGAGTTTCCGAATTAATGACAGGCGATGCTGGTACACGATGCAATCCTCACTAACTTATTCAGTTCATGATCTTTCATTGAAGCATTGACAACAAACTAGGCAGATTCCGACTTGGTGTAGATCCTTACAGCGACAGCCAAGCCCAATATTGCCAGGGGGACCAAAAACTGGAGGATCTTGATGACGAACTCCGGGGTCTTATCCTGGTTGTAGGGAGGCTGCTTGGGGGGCGTGTACTTCACCTTAGTGGGTATTGTGGCTGCATCAATTTCACCGACCAAGTACTCGTCCATCATTGCACGGGCAGTGGTGCTATGCCCCACATCTTCGAAATCATCAGTAGCATCCTTGGCTGCAAAACACCCATATCGAATTAACAATCAAAATCTGAAATGACACCTTCACCAACTTCAAACACTGGATATGAGAAGTATGCAGCTTTACCAGTGGAAGACAGCAGAACATCATCACCTCCAGGGTGGTCCTCCAGAAACTTGGTCACATTGTACACCTACAAACAAACAGAAAAGGGTTTATTGTTTTCATCATATGAAGCTTTGCTACTGCAGAAACATCATGGTGCCACTGCCATTCATCTGAATTAGAAAATGAACCCAGATAGCTAGCGCAGCTTTGTTCATCACATCTAAACACCATCAGTTTTAAAAAAGGAGGAAATCATGTAAATTAGTGGCATCCTGCATCTAGACAAGTTTATTTTTGCTGAACTTTAAATATCGATGCAAATCAGACTGATTTTGCTAGTATTCACAGAACAGGGATCTTGAGTATTACAGTCCATCTAAATTGTGGATCCCAGACGAAACAAGAAAAGACAACAAGAGCATTCCAGTTGTACCACAAGGACATGTTTTTTGGAAGCGAGGCACCAAATATTATAGGCTACATGACAATCTCTAAAGAGTGGGTCCGGCTCCAAGAGAGTGATAGGTCACCGAAAAACCAACTGAATGAGCATGTACAGACAAATATGGACAACGGAGGTATCCAGGGTAAGGCCACTATATGGTCAGTAATCGACGTATATGTTTCCTATCATCTGTGAATTGACATTCTGTTGGAAAGCTTGATTCTTGGGAGATTCTGAGAGAATAGAGAGATGTTTTAAAGAAAAGAGTGAGGATGAAACATCTGAGCAGTAGGGGACCTATAATAACCAAAATAGTGCAGAGAAATCATGGTTGCTCACATACCACACCAAGTGTCAGTGTGTCACTGAACGATGGTCTTGAAGTGTCAGTGTGTCACTGAACGATGGTCGTGTGCACGCACAGAAGTGTTATCGTTGCATATTGTGGTTGATTTAATCATCAGTCTAACTGGATGTTGCAGGAAAATGGGTCCAGTCTAGAGGTAGTAGAAACAGCTGAACCGGAATGAAACAGGGTGGTGAAATGAAATTGAATTCGCCAATAGGAAGATTGATTTTTGGCACTAGCATCCTAGGGTGGGTGGACGGACCTGGTTGGATGCATATTCTTGGAAGCAAAACTAGCAACACCCAGAAGGAATCAAGAACAAATGAGTAATATAAGTCCCATAGGCAATAGAGACTATATATGAAATGCATATTCTTGGAAGCAAAACTAGCAACATCAGTGACAGCTGGTAGTAAAACGATATGAATGAAATTGGTACTAATAAAACATTATGAACACTACTAGGTAAGTACAGTAGGAGCTGTCCTATTGTTAGGCCACCGCCCACCGCCCACCGCCCACCAACCTAGGGAAAGGGCTGAACGCCCCGCTGAGTCAGAGTCAGAATCAGAATTTTTTTTAAAAAAGGGGACAGACATAATTTCCAGATCCCAAGGGAACGAAATCCTCCTTTTCAACGGACGGGACAGGGAACAGAGCTCGATCTTTCTTTCAGTGATGAAGACTCGATTCCAGGAGGCAGTAAACGAACGGGGAAATCGAACGGATCTTAATGATAATTCTGATGAAGGGAAGAGGGGAAGATCCCGGTTCCCACGCCCACCCAGGAAGGCAAGGGGAGGGAGGGATCCTTCCGAATTCCCGAGCCAGCCGGAGAGATATAGAAAGAGAGAAGAAAAGAAGTAACCTTGCCGCCGATGACTAGCCAACAGTCGTCCTTGGTGTTGTGCTTGGCCACCTCCTCGAGGGTGTACACCTTGGACCCCGACATCCTCGTCTTCCTCCTCTTGCTCTGGTGACGGACGGGGCGCGGCGTCTGCGGGAGGCGGAGGCCAGGGCTCTCCTCCCGGCTGCTGCTTGCTTGCTTTGGATCGGATCCGATCCGACGGCTGGAGCAAGACGAAGACGAAGGCGAGCGAGACGAGAGCAGCAGAGGAGGATGGATGGATGGGTCAAGTAGTATATTAGTATTTAGTAGGTGGGTCATTTCAAAAAAAAAAAGGAATAGTAGGTGGGGGCGCCTGGTCATGGTCAAGAGGGTGGGGGAAATGAAAATGGACCCACCAGTCATTGTCTCTCTGGGTAATGTAAAGAGGTCATCAGCTACCTACCCCAAGTCCCCAAGCACATCTACCCCCCACCCACCCCCGTTTGGATCGCGTGCGCCCAGCACACGCCTGCGGTGCAGTGTTGATGTTGCCCTGTGGGCTGTGGCCACAACAGATCTGCAGTCTGTCCGTCCGCTCCTGTATTCACCGTCTAGTTGAGATTTGAGAGTTGACCACTCCCTCTCCCTATCGTAAGTCGCCCACACACGCATTTCAAGATTTATAAACTCTTATAAAATCTCTGATCAATAATTTTTAGTTACTAATAATTTTTAATTAATATTTTTTAATTATTATCATCTAGACTTATATGGTTAGATTTACAATTACAATTAAATGTATTGTACTATCGGATTATCATAAATTTATAAACATAAATAATATATTATAAAATAAACAAACGTTCAAAGTGTAATTTAGGAAGTTTTATAATATCAAACCGCGCCTTGTCTTTAAATTTGACTAAGTTTATAGGAAGCAATGTCATCGTATATATATATATATATATATACACGGTAAGGCTATTCTGTAGCTGGTCACAGAATAACTTGTTCTACAACCACCTTGTTATACGATAATGTTTGTACCAATTTACGATAATGACAATACACATTTACGATACATGGGTTACTATAATTCAAGATGATACTTATCATAATGTTATAGTAAATCACTTATGAGATAGTTACTATAATCTCGTAAATTAGTATAGTAATTATCATAACTCAAAGTGGTCACAGAATAACTTATTCTACGGCCAGCTACATTACATAATACCTCTCTCTCTCTCTCTCTCTCTCTCTCTCTCTCTCTCTATATATATATATATATATATATATATATATATATATATAAATATATATATCATTCACATCTAGTCAAACTTCATATTATTTGACATAATATAAATATCATTCACATCTAATCTGATGATAATTATTTAGTATGATACATATTAGTATCTTTTTATATAAATTTAGTCAAACTTCATATTATTTGGCATAGAATATTCTAGAATTGTATCTCTTTTTTTTGGATGGAGGGAGTTCACAACAAGGCCAAACATGTATTCCTTCTGTTCTAAGATAGAATACAATTCTTATTTTCTAGAAGTCAAATAGTTTTAGGTTTGATCAAATCTATATAAGAAATATTAACATTTATGATACTAAATAGGGGGATATTTAACTAGTTTTCACTATTAAGGTTGGCACCTCTTCAAATATCACTTTTAGGCTCCTTTGGAACGCGGGATTTTTTTTCTCGTTCCTATGTTGTTTCCCGTGAAAAATGAACTGAATCATATGAAATTCTTGCGTTTCAAAGGGGCTCGTAGAATGGTTCTTGCACATTTGCCACCGGATAGAGGATAAACACTAAGGGCGTGATTGGTAGCCCTGATGGAGCCGTCCAAAGCACCATCTGGCATCATGTCATGCACTATCTTTGTGTTTGGTTCCCTGTGCCGAACAAAATCGATGCACCGGACCGTGCATTTAAAGCCCCTGGTGCAGGCTCATAGCGTACCCAAAAATCGGGCTTCCCATGTGAGCCGGGATGGTGTGGTGCGACGCATGGCCCAGGGACCCATGTGTCATACACTCAAAACTCACATCCATGTATGCAACCAAACAAGATGCCATCTCATACTGAACCAATAACAAAGACAACCAAACACGACTGAGTGCACGGTTTGAGCATGCATCTCACCATCCTAGACCGGCTCTCAATCCTGACTCCCCCTCACCGAAGCAACCAATCACGCCCTAACTTCTTGCTATTTCCATTGATATGGCATGCCAGCTCAGACCTCCAACACTCTGAATGGTTTTTTTTTATAAATTTAGTCAAACTTAAGAAAGTTTGACTCAACCACAAGCTATAATTGCATCTTTTTGAAATGATGTAGTATCCTTGCAAGTCTGGATCGGATTTGGCTCCTGATTGAGATGGAGGTAATGCCAGGGCTCCTAGTCAAATACTAAGGCCTCTACTTTTCCTTTGGACAGTACCCACCCTTGACCTCACCCTAGTTCATCCTTTCCCACCCACGTGCTCACGCAGAAGCCTCTCACGTGTGCACCATCTCTTCTGCCATCACCGCCACCACTGTCACTCGGAATCAGGCCCCTACCTGTCCGACTCATCTTCCCTCATTTTTCTTGGCGGAATCCTAGGTCTGACCATATTCTTCAACACTGGGCACTCGGGTTTTGCCTCCCTGGCCTTTCTTCCTATGATCGCACCCTCACCAACTACCATCCTCTGCGCATGCGACCTCCTTAGAATTTGTTCATATGCACACCCTCACCTTGACCGCCATTCGACCAGGAGCTCTCCCTTGCTAGCCACGAGGTCCATTCCCCTGCAAGTGCACCGTCCTTGATCGAGTGCCCTCCACGTGAGCATGCCCTCCCTGGGCGGCCCTCCATGTGAGCTTGCCCTCTTTGGTCACCCAAGATCTAGTCTTCCCTGAGGTCCGCCTCGACCACTCGAGCTTCGAGCCTCCCAACAAGCACACTCTTTCAAACAGAACTCGCTATGATCGCCTTCCCTCAGCAAAACCCAAGCTCCGATGCTGGCGGCTATGGTGTAGGAGGCTATCTAGTTGGGGAATGGGAGAAGTGAGAAAAAAACATATATGACTAATAAATGGGTCCTACAAAAATATGGACTCTGGTTCGAGAGCTCATACTTAGAGTTGAGAGCTTGCTTGATTGAGGCTACAAACTATGACACCTAAAAGTAGGAAGAGCTCCAAATCAAAATCAAAAGGAGGGGCACTGATTTGAGGACTCTCCTCCTAGAGTTGCTTGAACCAAGTATTTAACAATGTTTTGTTGAAACACAGTGCAGAAAAAGTAGGAGGAGCTCCAGATCAAAAGCAGCATCCCTGATTTGGGGCTCATGCTGACTATAGTTGCTCTAACAAAGTCTTTAACAATGTTTTTTTCGAACTTCGAGGACACTAATTTCATCATTATTAGGGCATGTTTGTTTCTAGGGACTAGAGACAAAAAGAGGATTAAAAGAGGGACTAAATAACATGTTTGGTTCCAGGGACTAAAGGGCACTAAAGCTGCTGAACAAAGACCAAAATGCCCCTCTCTTCTATTCTCTTTCTCTCTCTCCTTCCTCTGGTTTGCCGGTGCCGAATCCCTCGCCGTCGCTGCCATCCTCGGCCCTTGAGTCCGCCGCAGCCAAGCACCGCCCTGCGCCCCTGCTCTCTCCGCCTCACCCTTCTCTGTTGTCACCGTGTCGTCGAAGCACCGAGGCTATCGCCGCCCTCGCTCTGCTCGGCCATGCTCTGTGCCATCGGCCGGCGTGGGGTGCGGCGTCGGCGAGGTGGGGGGCCCGACCAGCATGGGTGAAAGCTCTAGTTTGGTTTTGGTGAATTGATAAAACCCTAAGTGCTAACCTAGTTTATTAAGTGATCATGAGATAGGTAGCACATTCCAAGTGGTGAAGCAAATGAAGATCATGATATGATAATGGTGATGCCATGGTGATGATCAAGTGCTTGGACTTGAAAAGAAGAAAGAGAAAAACAAAAGGCTCAAGGCAAAGGTATAAATGGTAGGAGCCATTTTGTTTTAGTGATCGAGACACTTAGAGAGTGTGATCGCATTTAGGTTCAATAGCCGTACTATTAAGAGGGGTGAAACTTGTATCAAAATACGGTTATCAAAGTGCCACTAGATGCTCGGGCACTTATCAATTGTTGGGAAGATCACTTGTTTCATGGTCATCAAAGAAGCAAAATAGTGTTGCATTATCAACCGCCGAAGTCGAATACATATCCACCGGTAGTTGTTGTGCACAAATACTTTGGATGAAGGCCACTTTGAGTGATTTTGGAATCAAGTTCAAGAAAGTGCCATTGCTATGTGACAATGAGAGTGCAATCAAGTTGACCAACAATCTGGTTCAACATGCACGAACTAAGCACATTGATGTCCGCCACCATTTCATAAGAGATCATCAATAAAAAGGGGACATTTGCATTGAGAGTGTAGGCACCGAAGATCAACTTGCCGATATATTCACCAAGCCATTGGATGAGAAAAGGTTTTGCAAGCTAAGGAATGAGTTGAACATATTAGATTTCTCAAATATGTGTTGATGCACCCCCCCACTTATATGGCATGCCTTTCCTTCGAGCAATCCAAGGTAAAAGTTGACTGGCATGGCATACATCCTTGCTAAGGACTTGTTTAGTGCATTTAGACATCTTTCATATTTAATAGGCTCATTCATGAAAATCAAATGAATTTGATGATTATATGGTACCACTATTGCTTCTATGCTTATTTTGATCTAGTGGTAGCATATGACATGTTTGTGGGCTTATAAACCTAGTGTTTAATCTAAAAATGAGCTATAAGTGTTTAACTCAACATGGTACAAGATAACCTTTATTTGGAGGTGTGAAGAAGCTTGTCCTTGGATCAAACCGAGTTAAATATCTTTGGCAAATAATCTAGATTGGACCAAATTTGGAAAAATGATCCTCACCCCATTGATTGACATTGATAATCTCAACTTATCTATATTTTGAACCTTTGTGGTCATTAATGACAAAGGGTGAGAAAAACAAAGATATTAGTACAGATATTAGTACATGGGAAGAAAAACAAAGATATTAGTGTACTAAGATAATGAAAAGACAATAAAGGGGGAGAACTTGACATAGGGGGAGAGGCATGACAAAGAAAATTGATCAAATTTTGAGCACACAAGTAGGGGGAGTAAGCTCATGAACTTGTATGGTGCATTTCATATGTTTGCTTGCATGGCACAAGTTTTAAATTTCAAAATACATGCTTGTGTGGTGTATGCTAGTTATAGGTTTGAATGATGAAATGAAAATCTAGCATGCATAGGTTATCTAGTGATTTCATTTCCTAGTGTTTCCAAGTGGTATGAAGCTAACTATGGTGCTAAGGATGGTATATTAGTGCACTCCAATTGGTATTACGCTTCAAAGGTCTATCTTTTATACCTTAGCATCATTCGGTAGACATTGTCTCCTATATTTCCTATCTAAGCATATGTGCAAGCTACAATCCAAACTCTTAGCACATATGTATGGGGAGCAATTGCTACCATATGGAGTTCATGAAACATGTCCATATCCTTTTACACATAGTAAATATGCTTGGACAAGCAACATTGATTCGATTGAATTTCAATTCATATCTTTGTGAAAGGGTTGTCATCAATTACCAAAAAGAGAGAGATTGAAAGCTCTAGTTTGGTTTTGGTGAATTGATGAAACCCTAAGTGCTAACCTAGTTTATCAAGTGATCATGAGATAGGTAACACATTCCAAGTGGTAAAGCAAATGAAGATCATGACATGATGATGGTGATGCCATGGTGATGATCAAGTGCTTGGACTTGAAAAGAAGAAAGAGAAAAACAAAAGGTTCAAGGCAAATATATAAATGGTATGAGCTATTTTATTTTAGTGATCGAGACACTTAGAGAGTGTGATCACATTTAGGTTCGATAGCCATACTATTAAGAGGGGTGAAACTTGTATCGAAATACGGTTATCAAAGTTCCACTAGATGCTCTAACTCATTGCATATGCATTTAAGATCTAGTGGAGTGCTAACATCCTTGAAAATGTTTATGAAAATATTCTAACACATGTGCACAAGGTGATACACTTGGTGGTTAGCATATCTGAGCAAGGGTTAGGAACTTCACCGGTGGAGTGTCCGCCCGTAGAGTGCGAACAGTCCGACGGTGCCACCGGCACCCAATACAGAAAAGACGGAGGTCACTGAAAGTGACCGGACGCTGGCCTCGGTTGGACCGGCGCGTCCGGTCAGTTGAAGCAGCGAAGACGCTGGCGTCGGTCTCTGACCGGACGCTGGGTCACTTAGTGACCGGACGCTGAAGGGTTGTGTCCGGTCCTGCTGATGTGGCAGCGCACAGAAGAGTCACCGTGTGACCGGACGCTGGGTGAGTCCGGTCGAGCATGACCGGACGCGTCCGATCGTGAAAAGTCGTCTCTGGATGCTTACTGGAAACGACCGGACGCTGGTGTTCAGCGTCCGGTCATCACTTGACCGTTGAGATTGGGCGATCGACATTTGAAGATAGGGGACACGTGGCACGCATCGTGTGACCGGACAGCGTCCGGTCAATATGACCGGAGCGTCCGGTCACCTTGTGTTGTGCCCAGTGAAGGGGTACAACGGCTCTATTTCATGGGGGCTTCTATTTAAGCCCCATGGCCGGCTCAAGCTCACTCTCTTGGCCATTTGCATTGACTTAGCAACCTTGTGAGCTTAGCCAAAGCCCTTCCACTCATCTCCATCATAGATTCATCATCTTTGTGAGATTGGGAGAGAACCCAAGTGCATTGCTTGAGTGTTTGCATCTAGAGGCACTTAGTGTTCGTGTTTCGCTGCGGGATTCGCTTATTACTCTTGGTGGTTACCGCCACCTAGATGGCTTGGAGCAGCGAGGATCGTCGAGCGGAGGTTGGTGATTGTCTCTGGCTCTGATCGTGGTGATTGTGAGGGGTTCTTGACCTTTTCCCGACGGAGAGCCAAAAGGTACTCTAGTGGATTGCTCGTGGCTTGTGTGATCCTCATCTTGTGTTGGTTGTGTGGCACCCTATTGAGGGTTTGGCGTGTGATGTCAATTAGCGCGTGAACCTCCAAGTGAGTGAATCGCCACAACGATGAGTAGCTTGCCGGCAAGCAAGTGAACCTCGGTAAAAAAATCATTGTGTTCATCATTTGATTCCGAAGTGATTGGTATTCATTGGTATTCATTTTTGTGATTGATTGGCTCCTTCCTCGACACGGCGGTATAAACAAATTGCTCGCTCTCTTTACATTACCGCAAACTAGTTGTCAAGCTCTTTAGTATAGTTAGTTGTGAGAGCTTGTTAGTTTGGTTAGTGTAGCTCTTTAGTTAGCCTTTAAGAGCACACTAACTTAGTGTAGTGACATAGCTATTGTGTGGATAGAAACTATATAAACTAGAATTGTGGTAGATGGCTTGCAATTTTAGTAGTCTAGCACAACACTTGCTTCGCCTCATAATTGTCTAACCGGTTTGTTAAGTGTTGTTGTAGAAATTTTTATTAGGCTATTCACCCCTCTCTAGCCATTAGGACCTTTCAATGGGGTGCGGCGCTGGCGAGGTGGTGGGCCCGGCCGGCACGGGGCGCGACCGCCGTGGGGTGCAGCGCCGGTGAGGTGGGGCTTGACTGGCGTGGGGTGCGGCGCCGGCGAGGTGGGGTGCGGCCGACATGAGGCGGGCGCTGCAGGAAGCTGGCGGCGGATCTGGCCGGAGGGGAGGAGGGAGGCGAGTGCGGCACATCGGGCAGGGGAGGAGAGAGAGGTAGGGGTATAGGCTATAAAGTTAGTCACATAAGTCCCAATAAACTTTATCCCAAGAGACTTCTACTTATTAGTCTCTAGTCTCAATTTTGATCCCTCCTGTTAGTTCAAAGGGATTAAAAATAACTAAAATTTAGTCTCTAGTCCCTTTCCTGTTGGAAACGAACGGCCCCTTATTATTTCAAACAGCGAAAGATCATCGATGATGAAGTAAACAGGCAATCTTGAAACCAATGGAAGTCAAAGGGAGAGAAGAAGAGCTAGTGAAGTGGAGCGGTAACAGTAATCCAGCCTGCAGCTGGTTCCAAATCGGAATGCTGCTTGTGATTCAGTTCTTGGTTGGGTAGGAGGCCATCTTGTTGATGCCACAGAGGCCTTGGCGCTTGCCGGTGCCCCTCCTCATGCGGATGTACCCCTTCTCGCCCCAGCTGGGTCCCCACGAGTTCTTCACGATGATGTAGTCATGGCCACTGTTGTCCTTGTCCGCCGTCCCGTAGCCGACGGCCGCCACGCCGTGATCCAGCTGCGTGCCGCAGGGCCCATCGAAGACGCCCCCGCTGTAGAACTGGAAGTTCCTGCCGGAGGCCTCGATGGCGACGCTGACGGGCTGGTGCGCCAGCGCTTTGAGCAGCTCCTGCTCGTTGTTCCTCTGCACGTCCTCGTACCCGGAGATGGTGACCACCGCGGCGTCGGCGTCCTCCGACCGCCTGTGCTTCTTCTTCTCGCTGCTGTGCTGGCAGGTGCCTTCCTCCATGAGGTACGGGTAGGCCTCCTCCGTGTGGAGGCCGCCGTTGTGTGCGATGTAGGAGAAGGCGTAGTCCATGAGCCCCCCGTTGCAGCCATTGTTGCCGTCCGTGTCGCAGTCGATGAGCTCCTGCTCCGACAGCGCCGTCAGGTTGCCCGTGACGATCTGGTTGATGCCCTCGACGGCGGCCACCGTAGAGAAGGCCCAGCAGCTGCCGCACTGCCCCTGGTTCTTCACCCCGGTCACCGCGCCCTTGCTCCGCCAGTCCACGGACTTGGGGAGGCTCGCCGCGTCCACGCCCTCGTACCGGAAGGACGAGCCAGCTGCAGCTGCCGGCGAGCCCTCCTCCTCTGGCTCCTCGTCATCATCGATACCACCCTCGCCGCCGCTGGGCCTTAGGCCGAGGTAGGTGGCCTTGAACTCGTCGTGCGTGAGGTCGGCGAACTCGTTGATGCCCAGCCAGTAGCTGCTCACCTTGCGGTTGGTCTCGTCGATGTGGTGCAGGTTGTCCTTGAACACCTGGAACCGCCGGAGCTTCTCCTCCAGGCTCGCGTACGCCTTGCGGTGGCGGGACAGCCAGCGCTCGAACAGCTCCGCCAGGCTCTCGTGCGACGACAGGTCCTCCTCCGAGTAGCCCATGATGGAGAAGTCGCGCGCAAGGCACGACGACGCCGACAACAGGCCGACGCAGAGGACGGCGAGAGCAACAACAATGGCGGGCTTCATCACCATCTTCGCGTGCATTCCCGCACGCTAGGACTAGCAGCAGAACAAAGACAGGCTACGTACAAGTGCTAGCTGCTGCTCAACTGAAGGATGATCAATGGTGGTGGTGAGAGCAGACTGCAGGAGGATGCATGCATATATATACACAACCAACGAACACATACATGTTAGCTTTATTTTGCTTCATTGCCTGGGCCTGTCGCAGATGGATGATGTTTGATGCCAGAGCTAGCTTTAAGGTTTGGCCTCGGATTTGGTGTGAAGAAGGACTTGGCTTCAAAGCATGATTTGTTGGTCTGAATATAATCTCTCTGTCTTGAGGCAAAATGAAGATGTACCTTAAAGCATGCATGCAGTCGAAGCAAGCAACCACCCAACCCAACCACACATGGATCGGAATGGAATACAAGACTGTGATTTGCGCGCGCATCATCAGCGCATGCGCATGAGAATGAAATTAAATATATATAGAATGGCATATCATATATCTAATATTAGTGATTTGAATTAATGATATAACAAGCACAGAGACAAGTTGCTATGTAATCGGTAAATAAATCTAGAGTTTGATCGTCCAACTGAATGAACTTTGTACACACTTCGCTTTCTATAGAAGTCAGGTTTACCTCTGTCATAAAAAAAAAGATCGTCCAACTGAACGAGCGGGCAGCAGTAAGAATACTTTTGTTTGCGACATCAGCACATGAGCTTACAGTTACATACTATCGCATATCATTCTATCGCTTACAGGGTCAGGGAGCGTCTCCACCGCCGGCCGCCGCTGTGGAATGGAAGGGTGTTGCGTCGCCGTCGCCTCCACGCGGTAGGATCGGCGGTACCTCTTGGTGAAATGGGCACCGTCCGTTCATGGGCGCCTGTTTTTGCAGTTCTTCTCTCTAGCTAGCGGCCTCGACCGCGCATGGGCTGCAGTCTCGGCCGCCGCCCTGACGCGGTTCCTCATTAGTTTGGTGCTTCGCCGCCCCTGTGCGTGGAGGTCTAGATCGAGGTCAATGCGGTGCGGTGCGGCCGCAAACACACCGCGCGTGGCCTCGGCCAATCGCATCGTTCCGTGCTACTCCGCCTCCTCGATCTTGTCGCGATCTGTGCCTAGGAAGCAGAGGCCTAGGCGGCCACGAGGACGAGGGAGGCAGGAGGAGCTAAGCATAGAGGAAGAGGAGGCCGACAGTGTCATCCCTCAAAGTCGCTGGATCGATCTAGAGCCATGCATTCCTCGTTCTGAAGCTCCTCCACTAGCTCGCCTCGGCTCTGAGGAACCATCCCAAGAAGACCAACAATGCCCGTGCCGACAACTCCGTCGTCTCAGCACCAAATCCAGCCTTCCGAAATTAGGCTACCGAGCAGGACTACACGCGGGTAATACATCTCCATCGCCTACAGCCGACTTGTGCCTCCACCCATCCGTGAACTTGGGAGCTGCAGCCCCAAACGATTTGGCATGGTTTCTTCTAATTGATTCATGTATATATCTCTTGCTCTTTCTATTTATACATAATCACTCCGACTCCGAGTTACCTAAGACTGCCCATGAGTCATAAAAAGACGCTGACTACAGGGCATGTGCCGCGCGCACCATGTGTTTGCTTCATTGCCTCACCCAACGCCCAGTTTGAACAATTTACTTGCATCCCAATTCTTTTACTATTTGCTGGAGGGACACCAGTGTGTTTCTATAGGCCTTGCTGCTATTTATGTGCCCGCACAGACGATTCCCTAACGTGACCACAACAGGGCGTCCCAAAATACGTTTTTCCCCCCCTTCACTGCTCAAGTCTGTCATGGACAACTAACTGACCATCGACAACAAATTGATCGAAAAGGTTGAGCTTATTCTAAAAGCCACATTACTAAGAGTCCTTCTCTTTCTTTTCCATGCATGTTTAGTATACGCATCCATGGTCAAGAAATTTCTCTTTGTTGTTGGCGCAATCAAATTGATAACCATTTAGCTGTCTTGTAAGAATTGTCAATAATGGATGCTTCAATCTACATGTTTTCGTCCAAAAGTTCTATATTTCATTTGTTTTTTTTTTGTTAGAAAATGCTCCAATCCGTGCATAAATTGTTATGTTAAACTAATGTTGCCTTTGTTGATCATCAGTGATGTCCTGAATTTAGCTGATATAGTAACTTGAACACATCAATAATGTTTAGTTCAATGAAAAATTTTGGGTCCAAAAGTTCTATATTCCATTTGTTTTGTATTTGGTAATAGAAAATGTCCAATTATGGACTAATTATGTTCGAAAGTTAAACTCGCGATTTCTCACCCAACTACTGATTAGTTTTTTTTAGTATATTTAATGTCCTGCATTCGTCTAAAAAGCGCGATGATATAAAAACCAAAATTTTTTAACTACATCTACTCGAGCTCCCAAACCCAACATCAAAGGTACGTATTACCCAAACAGATCGATGGAGCCTAGTTAAACATGTTAAAAACATTCAACAGCAATCAATATTAGATATTACAACAACCTGTGATGTAAACATGCATGTGGGAGCCAAAAGCTTTTCACTATGTCTCAAACTAACATACGAAACTGTGTGTGTCATTGTTTGTCGGCACTCAGTACCACTAATGTTGCAAATTCACAGTATATATATAGTACAGAATTTTTGCCCTTTATATACCTCCTTCATGCCACACGTAGCAACATTGAGCATTTGAGCTGTGCAGACCAATCCAAGCCAACTGCGCATGTCACCCGGCCTTGTTCTCCTTGCCTACCTTATCATAGTATTATTCATTTATCTAAAAAAATGTCATAGAACAAAAAACAATCTCCATAAAAAATGCTTGTTTAAACTGTCCGATTGATCCATGGCATTGTTTTGTAGGTTGCACCGCTCAGTACTCCACCATAATCCATAAGCCTGAATCCTTATTGATGCGATGTAATCTGAGGATTTAAACAGGTATTTGATTGAGATTGCATGGCTACGATTGATGATAGTTGAATGTAAGAACGCACGTGGTAGACATGATTTTCTAGGACTATCAAACTTGTGCAGAGTCATGGATTTCTTCAAGAAGCCCTAGTCCTTTTGAATAAGCTCTCTATGTTGTGCCTTTTTTTTCTAAAAAAGGATTTTGAAATGCTCTTCGTGAATTCCTTGTAACAAATTAGATTACGAAAAACAATATCAAGCTCTTTTCTTTTATAAACCGAAATCATATTTGGATTATAGTTCTAGGTCTAAGAATCCAAGATCTTGCCCAATGATTTTATTTTAATAGAAGCCAAAATATTCCTAAAACACATTCAAGCCAAATAAATGTTTGCAAGATCCTGATTTAGATTTAAAAAGGATATATAGTGGCTACTTCTTAAAACCATATCGAATAAAAATAGGTTTGAGCACAGGTAGTTCTAAAGTTTAGAATCAATGCCTTTCGAAAAGGATTTTATTTTTTAGGAATAAGGGTTTAGGTTATGCTTTTGGGAGAAGAAAGGAAATAGTTTAGTTTTGATTTGATTTGAGTGAGCTCAAATTCATACTTCGCTAACGATTGGACATAAATACTAGGTTTCAACTTTTTGAGCCGCCGTCTGTCGTTGACTATTCCGGTTCCGGTGGTGTACATTTCTTGGGTGGACGGTGTTCACCAGACAGCTGGATGCAGAGAAGGGAGGCAAGCCAAACTGCCGAGCTAGCCACGCCAGCAAGGGCAAGGGCAAGGGCAACCGCAACGAAGCGTCGTGGGCTCGTTCGTTCTGGCCTCTGCTGGAACTGGATCAAATCAAATCTCTCTCTGCATTCACGTCACGCACACGCACACGCACACGCACACGCACACGCGTCCCTTCCCTGCACGCGCCGGATTCCTCTCCCCAGACTCCCCCTCTCCGTCCCCGAGCCCGCCAGCAGCCTCCCTCCTCTTCTAGCCTAGGGTTTCTCCGCCGCCGCCGCCGTCCACGCGCCATTGCAGCACCCTGCCTGCCCGCCCGCCTGCTTCCATTCATTCAGGTAAGTAATCCCCATCTCGTCTCCTCTCGTCTCGTCTCGTCTCGAGAACAAGGCTTTAGATTTTATTACGAGTATAATATTATTATTTAGTTCCACACACAACCCTCCTCCCTCCCTCCTGACTCCTGAGGGACAGGGACAGGGATGGATGCATTGGCAGGGCAGCTCAATCGATTCTTCATTTCCATCTCCATTCCTTCGTTCGTTCCATTCCATACATGCCTAGTGCCTTCCCTTCCATCTGCTGCTGTTATTATTATCATTTTTTAATATAATTTTCTTCCTCCTGCTGCGGCGAGGGCGACCAATCCCGTCAGCAAAGCAAACTACCACACCACCGGGCATAGAGGATACTGGATTGGATCCACCATTCATTCATACGGAATGCCGTTGCCGTTTCTAGAGGGCAGGGGGACACCACACCGCGTTATCATTCATTTATTTTATTTAATTTATTATTATTCTGAGGGCAACATCATTAATACTCCATCCAGTTGCCAGTACTAGTACTATAGGGATGGATGGAGGGATGGACGGAGGGTTTTCCCATCCCATTCGTCTTGGTTAGGCTTAGGCGTTACTACTGCTACAGACGAGATAACCAATATTCTCATCGCCGGGACCAACACGAATCCAATCCTTATCTTCGCCTTTGCATACCAACAGTACGCACGAGAATTATTCTGCAAGCATAACCTCCTCCTTAATCCACCCATCCAGGAGGACCAGGTGGGCGATTTCTTGGTGTCCATCACACTCCAGCTATCGCCGTCATTATGCTCCCGTTGAGCAATGCATAAAAGCCGCCGCTTGCAGGTCTCCGTCTTTCATACTTTTCCCGCTGTTCCAGGCAATGGCCAAACTTCCGGTACTTGCACGCAGGTTTGCACGCCATCCATCCCTTTCAGTTCATTACTGCTACCGTTTTTTTCCCTATCCTCTGCTGTGATGCATATCTTTCTTTTCCATCTTTGCTCCTTTACTTACAGTGCCATCAGGAAGCCTAACGAAAGCATGAGGCTTATTGTAGTAACGATCGTTGGTGCGGTCTTTGGTTTCTTTATCAGAATCTCGTTCCCAACAGTTAGCATAACAAAGGTATGGGGCATGGTCTATCCATAATTCCATATGCAGCAGCTAGGCAATAGCATCTCAACGATCGTGACTCATTACTGTTTCCCACAAAAAAATACATATGTTGCAGCTTCACTTTCCATCTAGCATCGTCTCCTACATAGAGGACAAGAACTCAGGCCTCTCAGCTCAAGCTATACTTAATCATGCTTGGACTGCGGCCAGGAACGCAAGGGGAAATGGCTCTGAACCAATCTCAAGTGACAACTTCAAGGTAGGATCCTGTGCGCTTCCTGAACTAATCAGTACATCTCATCCTCCTGTGAGATGTATTGTTGAGGATTACACCTCAGATTTTTGTCCTGTGACCAACCCTGCCTCCTTCAGTATATCTGTCAGATCTAATAAAAAAAGTCCTTGGTTGATAACTTTGTAGATTTATGTACCAACAAACCCCAGGGGCGCCGAGAGCCTAGCACCTGGTATTGTTGTACCAGAGTCTGATTTTCATCAGCACAGGTTATGGGGAAACCCAGATGAGGTAACTATTCTTGTATTCACTTCTCATCCCATACTATTATGTATTTCAGATGAGATTCCGCTATATCCTTCCCTTCACATTGTCAGCAAGATTTAGAATATGCTTGCTCCTTTGTCATCTTGTAAATTCTTATGATGCTTGTGTGCTTCTCTAATGCATCTTTTCAATAATTTTTTGTTATCCCGCTGTTGGTGAAATAAGTAATTTGCTCAAGATCTTAGTGTTGCTACGAGTTCTTGTCTTATTATTTATCCAGCTCATATATGCACTGTATTCTTGCTGATTTTTAGCGCCCCTTTTTTTCATGCTGCCCTTTGTGGCTTTATCTTCCATAAAAGTTGATTATTTCCATCTTAATTTCAGCACCCGAGCCATGATGCTTTGTCAAAATTAACCTCAATGTTTTAGCTAATTCTCACACATGTTCCGTAACTTGCACATTAACATCCTTGCTGATGCGGATATTTAAATTTACAGGATCTACCCTTCAAGCCAAAGTACCTTGTTACTTTCACTGTTGGCATTTCACAGAAAGATAACATAAATAGGGCTGTCAAGAAGGTAACTTTTAGAGACTATTTACATCTGACACTACTCTTACATCCCAAGTTCTATTGTCTAGCCGGGACTACAGCTGTTTTCTTTGTTTTGGCAACTTCAATTTCATTTGTAAACGCACACATATCATCATGTAGTAATAACTTGGCAAATTACCTGATTCTTTTTTCCCTTTGGTTGCTGTTGCAGTTTTCAAATGATTTTGCAATCCTGTTGTTTCACTATGATGGCCGGGTGACTGAATGGGATGAATATGAGTGGTCAAAGCGAGCTATCCATGTAAGCGCCCGGAAACAAGCAAAATGGTGTGTGCTCTGATTCTTTATTATTCTTTACACGTTTCGATATTGAGAGTGGTTGTGGTTCTAAAAATTTTATGATTATCTTGACCTCTAGGTGGTATGCTAAAAGATTCTTGCACCCTGATATCGTGGCAGCCTATGAGTATGTATTTATCTGGGATGAGGACCTTGGAGTTGATCATTTTAACGGAGATGAGTATGTAATTTCGATCTTCACTTGACCATTTCTTCATATCATGTTTTGTAGGTGATTTGCTAATATGATTTGATTGCAGGTACATTAAACTTGTCAAGAAATATAGACTAGAAATCTCACAACCTGGTTTAGAGCCAGATAGGGGATTGACATGGCAGATGACCAAGAGAAGAGGGGATCGTCAGGTTCATATGTAAGTGGGGCAACGATCCTTTTGCTTTATCCTCTAGAAATATGTGTTACTTAATGTTTAGATAAAGATGTGGAGGCATTGTTTATGAAAATGTTCTTTGCATGAGGATAGAAAAATTTTAAGCCTGGTGCTGTTGCCAGGCTACAATGTCCAGACTCTTTGCTGGGACATAGAAACTTTTTTTAAAAAAAGAAGTTAAAAAAGGAATCTTATAAAACTGGCTCTGACAGGGTTACAGAGGAGAGAGAAGGCTGGTGCTCTGATCCTCATGTTCCTCCGTGCGCTGGGTATGTAATTTTGCCCCCATAGCAGCTGAATCTGCTTGCTCTGGTTGCCTTGTATCGAGGAACCTACCTGATCTGTTTGCTGTACAGGTTTGTTGAAATAATGGCTCCAGTTTTCTCCAGAGATGCATGGAGATGTGTCTGGCATATGATTCAGGTATAACACAATTTCAGTGTCTGCACTCTACCCGTCCACTTGGCTTGGTTTGGTTGATATCTTCTTCTTGTTGCAGAATGACCTAGTTCATGGATGGGGTCTCGATTTTGCTCTCCGGAAATGTGTGGAGGTACGCACTTCACAACATAGTTGAATCATTGAAGAGAATTTGTGACTACTTCTGCTGGCCCTTGATAACACCTTTTTCAGTTATTTGCTACAAGAAAGCCTTTTTCAGCAGAGTAGCTTTTGAACACCTTGTCCATGCCTTCAATTAAGCCTTTAAAACTCTTTGCAGCCTGCTCATGAGAAAATCGGTGTCGTTGATTCCCAATGGATTGTACACCAAGTGGTTCCTTCTCTCGGGAACCAGGTAAAGCGAAAAAAATGAAGCAAACTGTGTACCATCAGATTCTACTGTAGTGCCTGAATTGCATCTAATGTCAACCTTGTCCCATCTTCAAAATGCACAGGGGCAGTCGGAGAATGGGAGGGCACCATGGGAAGGGGTATGAATCTGACGACTTTGTTAGATCTCATCTTTTGTGAGTATAAGAGTGTGTCGAGGCTGGTCAAGCTGTGACTGATCTTTATCCTGGTGCTGTCTATATGTAGGTAAGAGAGCGTTGCCGGAAAGAATGGGGACTCTTCCAGACAAGAATGGCAGAAGCTGAGAAAGCATATTACGAGATGATGGGAGTTACTCCTCCGAATGTAACATTTGTCTCCTAAGATAAAAGCTCACATGTTAAATCCACTCACCTTTTTCTTTTTGTCCAGCAGTAGCTCTTCGAATAGAGTTAGATATTGATGATACATGTAGAGCATACGTGACATTATAAATATATCAATCTAGATTCTTTGATCCTTCGTCCTGTATATTTCACCCGGGTTTGTTCTCACTAGGATCTGGTTATTGTGGTATCACATACTGCGAGCACAGAAACCAGGTTCCCAATTTTCATTCACTAACTGGGAAATTCTCTTGTGAAATGTGAATGATATGTTTTGTTAATTCAGAGTTTATATTCCGAGTTTCTGACTGTTGTATCTCTAAACTTGACTGTATGGGCGCACGAAAATTCTGCAGAAAACATTTCAGATGGACAAGGATGGCCAAATATACCACTTCATTCTATAGACAGCGAAGGTTATAGTATAGCCGTATAGGTAGGTGTACATGTGTTTGGTGTACATGTGTGCAGGGAATTGCTTTTGCTTACGTGACAGCGACGTCTGCACCCAGAAAACACATCCTAATAGCCATGCCTAGAGCTGCTCAAGAAACCCTAGATAGCAGCAACACATCAAAGAATGGTGGACATGAGCATCTCCGTCAGAAAGTCGATCCTCTGCAGCCTCTCCTCCAGTCCCAGCTTGGATGATGCATCATCACTCGCTGTTGCTCCCTTGTTCAACTTCAACCTGGGAAAAAAGAGAAACCACTGTCACTTTGAGCCTCCCGTGATACTGGCACGGCCAACACTTGGGATTTGTCGGCAATTGAAAATCTGAACTACCTCTGATCATCTGAGACACCCTTTTCGGCGTTGCCATCACTTGGGACTGCATCGTCGGCCTGCGCGACACTGCAGATGAACTGGGAGAGCAGTGGATCAGGTGCAGGATCTTTGTATGGCCTGCTGTTCATCCTGTAGTGCTGTGGTTCTGGCTCTTCATAGTAAGAGTTCACTTCATATGTTGCTGTTCCCTTCCCAGATGCTGAGCTGGTGGCAGCCGCAGGGCATGAGCTTGGCCTGTAAGGCTTCCTCCTCTGTCATGAATCATGATCAGTTAGTTCATGAGTGAAATACTAGAGCATGGACTGCTATTTCTCATTGGGGGAAAAAATCCTTAAGTAGCAGGAACATAATTACCTTGAGAAGATGCGAGTGTTGCACTCTGAAATGTGCCGCCATGTCTTTCCCTAGATTGTTGGCGCAGATCGGACAAACCTGAAGTTCATCAGTAATAAACCGTTAAAACTGTCTGTCAGATTTCATCAGTATTCAGATTTGGTAGATGAATAGGGTGGTGATTAGGTGAGTATTAGCATCATTAATGGCTTTTAGGACTTGTGGTTGAAAATAACTACAGTGACTTGTGGTTGAAAATAATTACAGTGACAGACTATGACCTAGAAGAGAGAGATTCCAGGTTGCATACTGAGATCATACCCTGATTGATCAGAGTAGCTTTGCAAATTAGTAATACTTACAGCATTTCTGGTGTCAAAGCAATGCTCCTCCTGAAGGTGGTCGCAGATGAAAGGCACCTCAACCTCGATGTAGCAAAAAGGGCAAGGGAAGTACTCCCACAACTCACCATCTTCTGAAATAAACAATAATCAGTTAAAACCGCTTTTCACTATGTTCAGCAGAATAGTTGTATTTTCTGTCAAAACGATTCCTTGTACTGAAGAAAAAGGTGCTCAGTTTCCATTTCAGCGTTCCATTGCAAATATTTTGTTGTTGTTGTATTATAAAGCTACAGATTCCAACATGAGGTCAGTCTCCTTAATTTACCACCACAGAAAAGCAAGAAAGGACATTTATTTCTCCTGATGGAAATTCTTGTTGCATCTGACGAAACAGAATGGATATAACACACAGAACTGAATCCACTAGGTACGTCCTCAAGACAGACCAGACCAGAGCAGCCAGACCAAATGTTTTCCAAAGCAGCAGTAAGATGAAGTTACAGGAAAAATAAAATAAAAGGCAAAAGGATGAGAGAAAAATCTAAAGGAACCAAATTCAGGAATCAAATAAGTAGGTTTTTTTTCTCGAGAAGAAGCAAGAATGGACCAACAAGAGATCGGCGAAGAGATGAGCTGAAAGGGGGAAAAAGAATCAGAAACTAAAGAACATATACCTGCAGTGTGAGGAAGGGGGCCATGCCCATATGGTGGTGGAGGTGGTGGTTGGTGCCTGCCTCTGTCTGCAGGAGGGAAGCCGTAGTTGTAGCAAGCGTCTACCTCCATTGCTTTCGCTGATGAGCTCCACTGCACTCTCACCTAGCTAACTGCCCCAACAAGAAGGAGCGAAGGAGAAGGGGAGCGAGCAAAGCAGTGTTGCAACAAACTGAAGAACAGCAAGGACATGCATGCAACGACTGCACAGCACAGCACAAAGGGAGTGGAGAGAGCTGAGCTGCTAGCTTGGATGAGAGCTCCTTACTTAGTCCCTCCCCTCCTTGTGTGTTTATATATGGCTCCATGTCAAGGACCCTGCCTTTCCTGGCCACATAATAATAAATAAACAAATAAACACAGGGTTTGTGTTATTTGGTGACTCAAAAGTCTATATATATATATTATACATCAATCAAAAAGAAAGAAAAAGGGAGAAGAGACCAAAAGCTAAGGGACCGGAGGATGCAAAAGGAGACAAGAGGTTGGAGAAATCTTTCTTTGAGGGGAGGGGAGATTAGCTGCGTGAGGCGCAAGGAATTGCTATTCCTACGGGAGGATCGGAGTCGCTTTTCAAGGTAGAATAGTTCTATTCATCCATCAGGCATAAATTAGTGCACAATGAATGAATACACGGTTGATTTTGACTGCTACTGATAAGGGGTTGGTTACTAGTATACATACATGCAGAGTTACAAAATAATACTATATAATATAATGGCATTAACCAACATAGGGCTAGTATACATACTTTTTACTGCTTAATTAATACAGTAACTAACATTAATCAACAAGTTTCAGTACAGCAAGTTAATTAAGAACCGGCAAGATACAGTACAATTAGGGCTCAAATTAAAATCAGCTGCAGCATTATATATAATTTACTAGGGAGTATATTGTATTAGATTAGGGTTTGTTTAAACGCTCGCTCTGCCCAAAGATTAATTATTTTGCCTCCTGATGACGGTGACGGAGCAGCAGCTACAGCTAGCATTGTTGGCCTTGGGTTTCACATGCCAAGTCAAGTCATGGTTTTCGTTCTGTCTCCCACATGGCTGGCTAGCTGCCTCAACACAACACTCGTTCAGTTCCGTCCCATTTTATCAAAGTGCAGTGCAGGCCTTTGCTTTGCTTTGCTCTGCTTTGATTGATATTTCTCTTCTGCATGCATCCAAGGAAAATACATACTCTCCTCTGCAGTCGGCAGTCGGCAGTCGGCAGTAGGGCTGCTGGCTGAAAGCAGCCGGAGAGCGAATTATTATCAGTACTGTTGCTCTTTCTTTCTTTCTTTCTTTCTTTCTTTCCACCATATATATCATGCATGCACGATCCATCCGCAGAAAGCTACAGATCGATGGGCTTTTGGAGGGTGTAGATACAAAAACAAGCAATATGCCGAAACCGAAAGCAAGCAAGAAGTTGTGGCCACTCGCTGCCTTCAACTTCGATCGGAGACAGCCATGAAAGTGGCTGCTTTTCTTCCTCGTCCTGCATCGACCATCGAGAGGGACTTGTGTGGACCTGCACCTGCACCAGCACCTGCTGCTCCACACCTTCACCTTTTCATACTTCACTACTGATGGTTTTAATTTGACGGTATCCTTCTTGGTCTTCAGGGCCGTACTGATGGTTTCTTTTCATACTTCAGTCCGTCAGTCATATATATCTTCAGAACCTGACATTCATCACAATCCGCTGCATGCATTGGGTGGTAGAGAGCTTGCTTAATTTGATGGTATCCTTCTTGGTCTTCACTCAAAGATAGATAGTACCAAATAAAAGGATCCTCCGACGAACAGATTAATCCCTTATACATGCATCTCCTGGCTAGAGTTGTGCTCAACGCAACAGATGGATCGGGATTCATTCTCTCTTTTTTTTTTTTGTGAACATGGATCGGGATACATTCAGTACATCAGTTTAGTATTCTTTCCATACATCAATGAGATTCCCTCCATCTCTTCTTTTGGACCACCACATGTATTTTTATGACACAGCAGAGACAGACTCGATGAACAAAGTGCAAAATCTACAACAAACCTTAGTTTACTGCTGCGTAAGCGTAGCTATCCGAATGCAGTTCCAACTGGCTCATATATATAGATTAATGAAACAAAGCGAGTTCAGGTTCAGAAAAAAGGCATGCATGACAGGGAAAGTTGGCGTGGATGGAGAGGAGTACTCGTGTTGTCGTCGATTATTATAACAAGCTTGCTAGCAGTGAACCAACTAATTAATAAGTCGGTCATGCTATTGCTATTGCTGTCCAGCTGATATGTCATTAGATTCTCCCGTCCCATGACACATACATTAGTCCAACCTCTTGACCTAACACACCACAATCATCCCCTTTCTATTAATTAACTAACTAACAAAACCAAATAAATAAATGTACGTAGCAGCTGCGTCGATCAATCCATCTTCTTGTTCACCACGCACACAAATAAATTTCACTACATCTGTTGCATCACTTAGGTTTTGGTCGCGTCGCTCGTCCAATCCTTTTTCTTTTTGGATTTGTGCTTGTAAGATATACCCTGACAGACTGAATGAGATTTTTTTTGGTCCGAACAAAAAGGGAGCTGCTGAATAAGCCAATCCAGAATCAACACGTGTAATATATGCTTGCCCCATCAAGCTTCAGCAGCTGCACTTTCTGTACTATATTATATTTCTTGGTCAGTGTCTAAGACTCTCTTTGCTAAGGCTTTGGCTTCTCTAAAAACGGAAAAAGGCTATATTTTTGTGGCTTTGGTTTCTAGGTCAAAAGGCTTCGGCTTTACATTTTATGTTTTGGTTTTAGCCTTTTGGCTTCATTGGCCGTTTTCTAGTGTGAGTGTTTAGCAGAGTTTCACCAAAGAAACACAGAAGGGCAAAGGTGAAGCTCCCCTGCCAATTAAAAAGGATCTGAACCAGCTGGGAATGAAAACCAAAACCAAATCCACTTGTACACGTATGACCTGCCTAGACCTGGCGCTGTATATATAGCACAAATCTCCAGGCAAATGAATGTCACATGCACATGCTAAAGATCCTGTTGGGACCGGGCGGATCACTGCAGTGCACTCTGATTTTTTTTTGGACGGGACAACAAATTACAAGCAAAGCGAGCTGTGAGGAAAAGTGCCCTTTTATCGATCATGCCTACTAGATGGCCAGCAACCGGCAAGCAAGTGACCTGGAGGTGACTCAGCTCCATCACTTGCTTCTTCTCCTCGCTCCCCCGGCCAGTTGCATTGCGTTGCATGCATCGCTGTCGCCTTTCTGCATGTTCCTCCCTTCTTTCCGATCCATGGAATATGCTGCATCCAGTATTATTTTGTATGCTTGTTTTGTTTCTCACTCATCATCGTCAGAAAGAAAGAAAGTTCAGGTTTTTGTTTAGTGGGTTGTATATGTGTATTATGTTGCATATATATCGGTTGGCCAATTAGGGCATGATAGATAGATAGATGTGGCCAATTAGTTGGGTCCAAGGCATGGAATGTTGTCGATGCACTCGCCTGCTTTTCCTAACTATGATCATGGTGCTCTTCTTCTTTTGTCTCTTTCCATGCACTAGCAATCAATCTGCCTTTTGATCTCCTCTGTTTCCATTGGACGGCTACTGGGTCCTACCCATTGAATATATGGCCACGCTCCCATTGCTTGCAATTGTTTGAGTGATGCAGTTTCTTTTTCTTTTTTGGGTTGAGCATGCTGCATGCATATATATTATTTTTTGACGAGAGTAGGTGAGTAGGGCCCCTCCCTGATCTTGTCGATTTAGTTGCTTAGTTCTTTTTAGTAGTCTTTTTTGCTATGGCAGTGAAATTTGCTGCTAGCTAGCTAGTCTATTTTCCTTGTACTGCTCTTGTAATAGGGCTACCAGTGTACTTGTGTGTCCGTGAGAGTCAGCTGATCACACCCTAAGACTTGTACAGCTCTTAGAACCTGTTTGAATCTTCATCTAGATGGGCAGAATGGCTTCTCAGAGACGGGTTGTTCACCCACCTCTAGCAACTGACCTCTGCGCTCATGAAAAATAATAGAGATGGCCTGAGGATGACATCTGCTTGCACACGGTGCGGATTCGTGCGAACACTTTATCCGTGCTCTGTGCTGCCACCACCCTTGATCACACCCCGCACCGGATCTATGCAGAGGAGGGACATAGGGATGCGAAGGAGGAGGAGGAGGAGGAGGCATCAATGTTGGATCTCGCCTCGTGTCACCACCTTCGATTATATATGTTGTGCCGTCGTCACCCTCGAAAAGGGGGCGAAGACCTCACACACGCTCCATCATCGGAAGAGAGAGAACACATGGGGGAAGTTGGGCGATGGGTTGGGGTGACGAGAAAGAATGAGATTGGGGGCAATGGCTTTGTATCCGGGTGAAAAGGGAGAGAATTAAGAAGCTAGGGTTTACTCACTTTATATAATCTAAAGTTGATACTAGACCGAGATAGGCCATACAAACTGATAGCGGGCTCGACCCCATTTTAGATGGATGTCCTAAGAGCAATGTTCACCAAAACACTAAATGGTAAACAATTGAATTGAACCCTCGTTTAACGTTTATTTGTGCTACTCGATCACTTCAACGGGCTACGTGGTCAATTAAATGGGATAAACAACGGACTAAATGGGCACAGCTAGTCATCGTGTAGTATTTAGATGACGTGTAAACAAACTATACAGCTGTTTACAACAACACTGCTTAAGAGGCACAACTATGTTATATGATTTGCAGAGACAGGCAATATTTTATCGAGTAGTGCGGGATCCGAACTGAAAAATGGCTGTGGCGGGCGATGATTGCACGGCTGGAGGTGGATCTAGGGAGGAGAGAGGGAGGAGGAGGCGGACTCAGTGGCGGTGGCAACACGCCAAGTGTGTGTGGGAAAAAAGGAGGGAGGGAGGGCAAAGGAGGAGGAGGAGGCAAGTGAAAAAGGAGGAGGGTCAGAAGGGCGGTGCTGAGGAAAAAATTTTACTTTACTTCTTTTAAATAGGCAATACTTTTTCAGTGTCGGGATTTTTTTTTTTTTTTCTTCTTTTTTCCAAAAAAATGATTTTACTTCTTTCTGAGTGTCCTAGATGACACTCGAAAAAAAAAAAAATCATTTTTCTCCTTCGTTCCAGGAAAAAAGATTTTTAGCTTTTGCCGAGTGTCCTAGATCCGCAAAGTTTTTTTAATTTTTTTTGTTCTCTTTCTTTCTCGGAAAAAATATTTTTTTAGTGCAAAAAAAGCCTAGTGTTTTTAGCATCCGAGTGTTTTTTTTCCGAGTGTTTTTAGCACAGCACTCGGCAAAGAACTTGTTTGTCGAGTGCCCGAAAAAATACACTCGACAAACATAAAAACACTCGGCAAAGTTGACGTTTCGGTAGTGAGTTAGCGGTCCATAGCTAATAGTTAGTTAGCCTATTAGCATCTCCGCTTGTATCCATTTAGTTGCTATGATAACTACTAGCACTAGTATATATCAAGCATGCCTTATAGTCTGATTTAGTTATTTGCTTTCTAAAACGCCGTCATGTCGGCCCATAACAGAAGCAGGTTTTCCTCCCTTTTCGAAGGGAAATGATGGAAATTTGGATATGGGCCTCTTGGCTTAGGGTTTCATGAGAAATTTCAAAGGTATTGCAAAGGAAGTTATTTTGGCCCAAACTGGCCTTATGATACCGTGCGAAATGTGGATGGAATCAAATGTATGGGCTACAGCACATTAGCACCCATGGCCCAGCCCATGTTAATTCTGCTCCCCATGGCCCATAGCATCCGCCGCCGCCGCCTCCGTTTATTCCCCAACCATTCCTCTTCCTCGTCGGCTCGCCGCAAACCCCTAAACCTCCCCATAGGACCACCACCACAAATGGCGGCGCTTCCCCCCCTCCGCCGCCTCCTGGCCCTCCGAGGCCACCGCCGCCTCCTCTCCACTGCTCCTGCCGCCTCATCCAGCAACCCCACTACCCCAGAGGCCGTTCTCTACGACATCCACAGCCTCTCCAAGGACCCCTCCCAAGCGCTCGCCGTCTTCCGCCGCTCCGCCGCCGCCGGCCAGCCCGTAAGCTCCGCGGCATACAACCTCATGCTCCGCACCCTCGCCTCCCACCCCTCCTCTGCCCAGCGCCATTTCTGGCCCTTCCTCCGGGAGATGCAGGAGGCTGGCCACTCCGTCGACCAGGGCACCTACCTCGCTGCTCTCGCATCCTTCAAGAAGGCCAGCCTCACCGCCGACTACGCCTCCCTCACCGAGCACTACGACAAGTTCCGGAAGGGGGGCAAGTCCGCCACCGCCGCCGCCGCGGAGGCCGTCCGGGACCACGACGCCGCGGGCCTCGATAGCAGGCTCGCTGACATCGGTCTCCTTCCGCTCACGGAAACCACCGTCATCACGGTGCTCCGGGAGCTGAGGGAGCATCCGTTCAAGGCTCTCGCCTTCTTCAGATGGGCTGAGCGGCAGCAGGGGTACACGCACAGCTCCGTGGCCTACAATGCCATGGCAAGGGTGCTCGGCCGGGAGGAGTCGGTGCCGGAGTTTTGGGACTTGATCCGGGAATTGAAGGCTGCCGGGATGCACGTTGATATCGACACTTACCTCAAGCTGTCCAGGAACTTCCAGAAGCGGCACATGGTCCGGGAGGCTGTGGAGCTGTATGAGCTCATGATGGATGGCCCTTTCAAGCCAGCCCAGCAGGATGGACCCATCATCATCAGGCGCATCTCGCTGGGGCCATCGCCGGCCCTTGAGCTTGTCAATCGGGTTGTCAACAAGTTTGAGGCCGTCTGGGGCGTCAAGACCAAGGAGCTGCTTGACGGGGTCCATAGGGCACTTACCAGTAATGGGAAGTTCGATGAGGCTGCAGAGATTGTGCAAACAATGAGGGACCAAGGCCACCAGCCGGACAATATTACATATAGCCAGTTGGTGTATGGCCTTTGCAAGGCCGACAAGCTGGAGGATGCTCGCAAGGTGCTCGATGAAATGGAGGCCGAAGGGTGTGCCCCAGATTTGAAGACTTGGACCCTGTTGATCCAAGGGCACTGTTCAGCTGGGGATGTGGACAGAGCTGTGCAGTACTTCACCGAGACGATCGAGAAGGGCTTGGATGTGGATGCCGATCTGCTGGATGTGATATTGAAAGGTCTGTGTATCCATGAAAAGGTTGAAGAGGCTTACTCTTTGTTTGTTGAGATGGTGGATAAGGCTCAGTTGAGGCCTTGGCAAGTCACTTGCCAGCGTCTAATTGGTGACTTGCTGAGGGTAAACAAACTTGAGGAGGCACTGGCCCTTCTGAAGACAATGAAAACCTGCAAGTTCCCACCTTTCGCGGACCCATTCCCTCCTTACATTGCCAAGCATGGGACGGTTGAAGATGCAAGGAACTTTTTCAAGGCCTTGACAATGAATACTTCTCCAGCACCTGCTGCCTACCTGCATGTTCTCAAGTTGTTCTTTGCGGAGGGAAGATATTCTGAAGCTCAAGATTTACTGTACAAATGCCCTAACCACATCCGCAAGCACCCCCATGTCACCAAACTGTTTGAATCAATAAAAGTTGAGAGTGCCTCTGCCTCTTGATTGGGTTCAAGCAAGCAATGATTGGTGAGATTATGGTGAACCCTTAGCTTTGCATGCTAGCTAGCCTTTTGTTTTTAAGTTGCCTTGGTATTGGGTACTTTTATCAAATACTCCATCTTCTAATGATATATGGTTCAACTAAGTCGAATTTTAGTATATGCTACTCCCAGCCCATGACCTGCTGGCATATTCCCCTGTAACTTAGCTTAAGAGGAAGGTGCCCACTAGCACGTCCTTGAAACTGTTGTTTTTCGTACTGGTCATTGTTGCTACTTGCTAGTATCGTTGCAGCTATGCAGATGGATTTTCCTTCAAAATGACTAAAATGAATCAAAGCACTTGCTCAGAGTTTGAACACCATGTTTGCTATACTGGCGATTATCAATTTCAGGAGCTCTGAAAAGCAAATGCTTTGACAAATAAGACTATACGATTGCAACCACCAGCAGTATTGCTTAATATTACTACATGCCACAATCATTTGATCTGGTGTAATGTCTGATGCATTTTAACATGACAATTTTACAAAATAAACGTCCTGTGGACTGTGGAGTTACAGCTCCGCATGTCCACAACCTTGGGAGATGCTGTATGCTTCAATGATATCTTTGATTTATTGGGGTACTCATATGGGCATGTCAGGACCCTTCGACTTGTAGCTCCCGCAACTTTCTTGTCAAATCTGTTTGATGAGTGCAGTTTTTTTCTTATCTGATCATGGAGTTGGCTAATAATTAGAAGAATATGTATGCTCGATGCTTTACTATTCCAATTTCCAAATAGAAGCAAACAACTAGCAGTATCACAAAAGCCTCAGTATCATATATAAAAGTAGTCCATACATCGTTGTTGCAAACAATATTGCCACATAATTACACATCTCCACATAATTACATTACTTTCTTATTTGTATTCTATCAACAATGCCATGGTAACTTCACTCCGCAAATATCCAAGGCTGCAAGCAGGATCTGTTATTTGATCTAGGACCTATAGACTATACAGATACAAGCATAAGTATATAGTATCGACTTCTTGAACTAGCGACACCTTTAAGTAGAAGGTTGGTACATGGTTGTGCTCTTCTGGAGTGCCCAAGCCCTGTGCTTAAGATTGATGAAGTCCGAAGCTATTGTATCCACATCCTTATTCTTGTCATCTTTCATCCCATAGCCATACCCACTGGTTCCTGGTTCCTTCATAGCATTGGCTTGGCTATCCTGAAATTTGACGTGTTTCCTCTGGGCCTGGAAACGAAGGGGCTGGGCTTGAGACATTGTTACTTGCTTAAGGTATTGGGAAAATGTAAGAAAGTGGGAATTGCTAGGTTGGTGGTTTGCAGCTGTGATGTTTTCGTGCCTTCTTTTATAGGCCCAATGGATATTTACTCCAAAAAGATTTTTTTAGATAATCAAGCATCCGATTCTCCTCTTTTGAAGAATTGCCTTGTTCTCTTTCTTCATTCAAATTTGTTAGGCGTCACATGACTTAAGTGTCATCTCTTTACTACTAGTAGTAGTTCAGCTGATTTTGATGGCTAGGATTTTACTTTGTTTGATTGTAAGGTTAGTTCCCAATAAGGTCTCTTCTCTTCTCTTCTTTAAGAGAAGCGCAAGTTATGCTATTGGTCAAAGATTATAACTTTTTTTGTGGTCAAATGTGAATAATAAGGAAAACATGGTGTAGGGTTTTTATTTGTTTTCTAGTGTCAAATATTTGATCCTTATAACGCTCTGGGACTTGGATTTGTGTTACTAGGGAAAGCATTTGAGGACCACAACACATCTTTCCCTGTAAATCAGCTTAGAAGCCTTTGTGTTTTTAGGCATGTGTGTAGATTTAAAACCATATAATTCACAGCTTTCTAGCATGTTTTTTTCTTAAAAAAAATATGAACAGCATATCCATCATGAAGATGCCGCAAGTACTATTGGCGCACTGTATTTCTTTATGAAAAGTTATTCTCGTTCAATTGAATATGAGTCTCTTTTATCTTTTTTCTCTTTCAAAGTGAATAATTGGATGCTTTTCACGTGGGTCGATCGCCTAGACGGACATGGGATTTCCTGCACAGAGGCAGAAGCAGAAAACATGAGACTTGGTGGATAAATATATATCACATATTGCTTTCTTAAAAGCTGAGTTAATTCTCGTTAAAAAAAAAAGATATATATCACATATTGTATGAGTGGACGTCTAGCCCTCCAGGTTTGACGGAGTTTGGCCAGGCATGATGTAGATGGGTAACAGAAAGCAGTTATATGGAGTATACCTTAGTGGTTCTTCTTTGGAAGATGCTGCTTCCCTTGTGCACTGACAATATCTGCAGAATATCAATTGCGTGAGCATCTTAATTTCTAGCTTTATTCTGACTAAAACTGCAAGAAGCCAGATTTCAATGAACAAGATCATTTTCTTATCATTTGGGAATTGATGCCAAAGTTTACCAGTGTGAGTTAGACGTTTGGACAAGCATTAGTAGCTGTTTGCCACAATCTTTTGCTGATCGTGCTATCAGTTTGTCAGAAATTTGAACCTCGCATTAGCTAGCCTGAATTAAATTGTTGACAATAGGTAGGGGACAATGTTTTGTTTGGATATAAAATTTCACTCCTGCGGTCCTGAAAACTACTTACTGACATGTATGTATGATATGCTTGGTAACTCGTTTTTGAATGTTCTTTTTATCTCTTTTGAGAGGATGCGCATGTTGCCTTGATTGGGCCTTGCTGCCTTGGTGAGGATATATATATTGCAGGCCTCCTTGAATTTGCTTGTGTGGTTGAGCCTTCTCCCAAGAGCAGTTACTCTGAACAATTCTTACTCCCTGATAGAATTGGCAGAGATAGGTTTGGAGTGTTTATCTGTAACATATTTGGCTCAGATTGTGGATCAATACCCTTCGACATTGGGCAAACTGATTTGACGCGCTTGAACAATTCTCTCCTGGCTTCTGGAATCGGATATGCTGCAGTTGCAGGCTCAGTACTCGCAGTCTTATCCCCTCTGTAGAACCCGCTCTTCAATGCCGCCACTCCACCTGGATCTGGGACCTCGTCTTCTCTTGGCTTCTGGCAAAGAGCGTCTTGGGAGCAACTCACAATGGTTGCAGACCGGTGGACGTAGGTCAGTTATTTACATGCCAGGTCACTTATCATTTAGTTTTCTGTGAACTATGAACGGAACACAGGATTTTTTTTTTCCCGAGGAAACATGCTTCATCTACTGAGTTAATCTAATAGCGAAGATCAATGACATTGTGAGAGATGCTGTCGTCAGGTTGGAAACAAGAATTTTAAGGCACTTAGGCTAATTTCAAAGGGAGTTTTGTTCGGTTTTTAACCGTATCTAATAGATTGTCACATAAGCATTTTTTATGATGTACTCTCCCCGTCCCTAAATAACTGTCATCGTTGGTGTGTGTGCCGTAAGTTTGACTCGATTTGTAGAAAATACGTGCAACATTTATATCTTCAAATAAATTTATTAAAAATTAGATTCAAAGATCTTTCAATGGTACTAATTATGTATCATAAATATTAATATTTTTAATATATATTTAGTCAAAGTTGTTTCTCGAGAAATGAAAACAACAGATATTTAAGGACAGAAGGAGTAGCAATGTTTTAAGTAGAGAGAGTTTCATATGGCTAACTTTATTGGTTCGGTTTCCACACTTTTTTTAATGCACAGGAGAGCTACGTATCCTTGCATTAAGAGAGGAAAAAACAGACATGTACAAAAAAAACCTCTCCTCACTCCTGCCTGAGCTGTGGAGGTGTTGAGTTACAACAAGGCCTAGATCACTAAAAACACAAACACAGGTTAGGATCTAACCCACACAAATTGTCAACAACTGCTAGGTTGACGCCACTTCCTGGCCTAAAGCACCAACTTTTTGTGCCCTGCGAGACGCCATAGATGGTGCTCATCATCAAAGATCTGGTCCACCTCTTATGAGTCATGAAACTAAATGTCTTTGAAACACTGGGATGAAACTACATTGAGGATAGTTGTTCCATTTATGTTTCATTGCATTTTATCTAATATGGTATTCTTAAAAAAACAAAGCTATAAAAATCTTCATTGAGAATGACCTAACTTTTTAACTTAATAGTCTCTGCTTGGTTCCTCAGGCCGCTTGTATAGCCTTTAGCCTTCGGTTTTGTCATTCACTTTTTTTGAAGGCCTAGACATATACCTGCTTCTCTATTGACGACATAGGTGCCGTTCGCTGGTCTAAGGCGACCAGCCAGCCGGCTGGTTCCCCCTCACGTGTTACTGTTCACCAAACCAGCCGAAAAGTGTTTTCCTCTCACAACAAACCAGCTGGAAACAGTGTTTTTCAGCCAAGTTTCAGAGCAGCGAACGGGGTCATATTTGTTTAACTGGTAGCTTTTGGCTTTTCACTATTGAAATTTTGCTAATGACTTTTGTCATAATTTCTTAGCTTCTCAACATACCAAAGGGTAGAAAAGTTCATCTCAACGTGATTTTCAGATTTTAATTTATTTTCTTAGAAGCTAGTTTTTTTATTTTTTAAAAGCTAGCTATTAATAGTGTTGTTTGTTAAAAAAACGGAATCCAAACTAGGAGGAACCAGTGGGATGGATTGATTCTAGGTGCGTATTTAGTTGAAGGAACTAGCGTTTGGTTGCAAGGTCAAGAACGAATAGGATTACAGATCAGTTAGCCACCGTTAGTGGGGTCCCACTTGACACTTTGACAGTCAAATAGCCTTATCTTCTTCACCATCCACCCGACCGCCAGGAATCCACGACGCAGCCATTCTCGGCCGGCCCGGGCGGCCGCGCCCATCCTCCGCTCTCCGTTCCATCCCTGCTCATCCCTTGAACCAAACGCATCCAAAGGGACCGACCGGTTCCCGTTGCTCTCTCGTGGCCATGGCCGTGGCGGCGGCCTTCCCCTCCGGCTCCCTCCTCCCCACTACCCCCGGTACCCACCTCGCCCCGTTCACTCTGCGCTTCCCCTTCCGCCTCCGCCCACGGTGCGCCGCCTTGGTTGCCACCGCCGCCACACTCCGCGAGGTCTGCACCGGCCGCGTCCCGGACCACGTCCTACAGAGGTGAACCCCGCAACCAGACGAGCGGCCAATCCTTTACCATGCCATTAACTCACTCGTCGGCGGAGGCAAAGGCAACACCTGGAAATTCTGCGGGGGTTTCATTTCTTGATTTGAAAAAAAAATGAAATTTGGTTTCAGGGCTGAGGAGGTTGGCTATGTCGTTCCCACCGAGGTGCAGGAGCAATCCCTGCCGCTTCTGCTGTCCGGCCAGGATTGCATTCTCCACGCGCAGGTGGTCCTTTCTTGCTCCTTTTTTTTCCTAGTCCAAGAGTTCGTGTTGCGCGATACTGCTGTGGTCTGTTATCGCATTTCGCATTTCACGGTGGTCTGTAGACAGGCTCCGGGAAGACGCTGGCCTACCTCTTGTCTGTCTTCTCCGCCATCGACTTCAGCAGGTCCTCGGTGCAAGCACTGGTTGTCGTCCCCACAAGGGAGCTCGGCATGCAGGTGATTGGCTTTGATTTGATTGCCGGCTCGATTGCTTGCTCAGTGCACCCCGTCTGTCTGATGTGGCTTCCTGTGGTGCTCCAAGGTTACCAAGGTTGCTAGACTACTTGCAGCGAAGGCCTGCACCGTCATGGCTTTGCTTGACGGTGGTATGCTCAAGAGGCAAATTTATGTTGATGCCTGATTACCTGGGACCATTTTGATTGGAAGTGGCTATTCAGTGGTTAGGTCCAGATCTATCTTTTGATTTCAACGTATATTTATGTCGCTACGATATTGGCGGTTATGGCATGGTAGCAGAATTCACTTACATCATCATGTAGAGGGTTTGCCATGTGTTTGTGATAGAATTGTCGATAAAATTTACAGGCTGAGCCTCCCGCGATAATTGTAGCTACCATGGCAAGCTTGTGCCAGATGGTCGAGAGGCGCGCATTGAGCCTTCAATCCATGAGAGTGTTAGTTATCGATGAGGTGAGCTCATCGCTCCACTTTCTTAAGTCTTGAATCAAATTACTGTCAGAGTTTGCTCCGCCTGCTGATGCTCTGTAATTATACTTGCCAAGGGGGCTAACCTTGTTGTTTCCATAGGTTGATTTTATTTTTGGGTCATCAAAGCAAGTCAGCTCTCTCCGCAAAATATTAACCTCTTATTCAGCAGCTTCGAGTCGTCAAACCATATTTGCAAGCGCATCGATCCCTCAGCACAATCGCTTTCTGCACGACTGTGTACAGCATAAATGGACCAAGGTTGTACTAACTTCTTCTACTGAACCAATTGCTGTTTGTTTTTGTACTTTAAAGAAGGCTAATGTCTTTTTCCCCTTATCATGGTATAGAGTGATGTGGTTCATGTTCATGTCCACCCTGTACAGCCCATGCCTTCGCACCTGTGTCACAAATATGTGGTGAGCATATCAAATTCTCTGTATAATGATTGATGACCTTGTATCTAATTTCTCTTTTAGTTCACTGATACAAGGACCTTCCAATTTTCTCCCACCTTTCTTTCAACCATAGGCACTTACCCACAACCATGCCCACCCACAGGCTCATTGTTGTAAATTATACTAATGTTCTTCTTGACAACTAATTTTGGGATGCATGGCACTTACTCAACATCTCCTACCTCTAGGCATGTCACATTTCTTGTAATTCTCAACTAATCCAATGCATATAGAGGCAACCTGTTTTTTTTCTTTTTTCCCATAATTAGTGCCTCCTGGCTATCTAAGTCCACAACCAACCTCCTTTCTCCTGAGATTTCTTTTCGATCTCTATCTGAATCTTGGAAGGGCGGGCCTGGTGCAAGCGGTAGAGTCTTACCGCATGTGACCGGAAGGTCCCGGGTTCGAGTCGCGGTCTCCCCGCATTGCACAGGCGAGGGTAAGGCTTGCCACTAACACCCTTCCCCAGACCCCGCACAGAGCGGGAGCTCTCTGCACTGGGTACGCCCTCTATCTGAATCTTGGTGGCTATGACAACACAATCAATGTGCAGATCTGCACCAAGAAGGAAAGGCTGCATGTTTTACTATCCTTGCTCGAGAGGGATGCACCAAAGTCTGGAATCATATTTGTTGCTGAACAGGTACTGGTGTACGTGATGTTCTTTTGGTACCATACCATGTTGTTTACATAGTTTCTCTAGTATCTTGGGATTTCGTCATCTATTTTCTGGGCTGCTTCCTCAGTAGGGTTGTCAATAGGCCAAGTGATCTTATGACAGGCCAGCAATATTATGTCAGATGCAAATTTAAAATAGTCGTAAAGCATTTTGCCGTTTCTATCTGCTTATATGGAATGATACAGAATAATGCATGATACAGTTTTGTGTTGTGATGCTGTACTGCCATGCACGTATGTGATGAGTTGAGCCAATTTGGTATCTGCAATTTCGCAAATGTTTATTACCTTTTCAATTACTAGTAGTGCCTGGGAAAGTTTCTGCAAAATCAATACCCCAGTTAGCATTCATCATGTAAACACCAAGATCCAGGCAGCGTCCACCAGTCCATAACTTCATCATATTTTCAGTTTCTACAATTGCTGTGCTCTGACCAATACCCCCGATTCATAAGCTTTTAGATTTTGGATACTTGACACTTATAAGTAACAAAATTGGTTTTTTCTCTAATAAGGGGGCATCTATTCTTCACCTAGCTCTGAGCAGTTATGTTGTAGTGAATGAATCTTAAGTTCTTAACTGAACCAGAGAAGTAATGTATCATCCTCAACTCTGCATTCTGTTTTGTAACTCCTGAACCTATGTTCTTAGTCTGAGAGATCAAAGAAGGCTGGAAATCCTCCTTCAACCACCGTCGTTGCTGAGTTCTTGAGAAATGAATATAAGGGAAGCCTAGATGTGCTGCTGCTGGAAGAAGATATGAACTTCAATGCTCGAGCTGCCTCGTTCTCTGTAAGTGCTCTCCGAGTTCCTTGTCTGAATCTCCCAGCATCTCCATTCTCTGTATTGACTATGAGATTTGTGACCTCCGCAGGAAGTGAAGGGAAGGGGATTCCTGCTGGTTTCAACAGACATAGCAAGCAGAGGGTTTGACCTTCCTCAAACCAGCCACATATACAGCTTTGACCTTCCTAAGACGGCGACTGACTATCTGCATCGTGCTGGAAGAACCGGGAGAGAACCTTTCTCCAGGTTGGAATGCGGCGTGACAACCCTTATAACAGAGGATGAGCATTTCGTGCTTCAGAGATTTCAGAATGAGCTCAAGTTTCACTGTGAAGAGCTGCCCCTTGAGTCCATGTTCACGTTCTCTTGAGCTCGGATGTGAATACTAGTCTTTTTTTGGGGGGGGGGGTGGGTGCGGGGGACACTGCTACATGAGATCGATTTTTTTTTCCCTCTCGATCTGAGCATCTATAGGGGGAAAATCTACAGCATTTGTATCTTCTACGGTTGCATATCCATTTTTCTGGATATATACTTATGAAATGATCTTGAATCATGACAAAGTTGGTCCTGAATTGTTTTATCGTCTCGGAAAACGATTTGACTAAACTATAACCATGTAGCTTAGTCCACTGGACTATAGCTTATTAAACAACAGCTGTTATTGTTCATTGGTCACTTAAACCAGAGCACGGTTATATATAAAGGCACAAATAATTCATGTCAAATTCAACGCTTCATCTAGTCATCCATGTGAAATTATCAACAGAAAAAAGCAAAACCATATTCCATATTCAGTACGCATAACATGTTGGCAGCCATGGTACTCTAGTCTAGTCAAGTGCCACGGCCGATGGCTTAACTTCACACAAACAAAGGTTCAGAGGGGGCAAATTCACATGAACTAGGAAAGTTCGGGCGGTGCCAGTAATATCATGAAACTGAGCTAAACTGGACGGGATCGACATGGGGCAGGAGGCTGTTCTTTTATGGTTGTTGAGGCTGCAGCAACTTGGAATCGCAGGCCACGATCTTCACCTTGCCCAGTGTTTCTTGAATCTCCTCGCTCTTGAAGGTTGCATCTGTTAGAATGAAGGTCCAGACATTGTCGCAGAACCTGTAGGTGTGCAGATGACCCTGTACAGCGACAAGGAAAGCCATCACAGATCTAGTCTGATAACTGATAAGATTTCAAATGCCAAAGTGAAAAGAAATACCGAGTACTGAGCTGGGACCAGTCTGAAACCATTAGATGTGCAAGACAGTTTGGAAACTTCCACGCCCGATTTTATTTGTAACATTTGAACCCCAACTTACAGAATTTAGAGAATCAAACTATCAAAAAGAAGCAGGAAGCACGTACACTGGACTCATAAAGGCACAAGCCCTATCTGAAACACTAACAATAAGGTATGAGGCCAGAGGCTCTCGTCTTTTCTTTGAAGTCGAGCAAAATAATAGCAAGCATTCAGTATGTGAAACTATAAGCATGAACATCACCTTCAACAAAGAAGGATATCACCGAAGTTCATTCTAGATCATACAAAAAAGCCCCTTTGCCTCCAAAATGTCTTCATGGTTTCAAAACATAAAAGAGACTAGCAGTTATTATAGAAAGACAACTATCTATGTTCCCAAGAAAAAGGTGTACTATGAAGTTTCCATTTTAACAAACTGGAAGAGAAACCAGCAATGTGACAGGTAGCTACGTAGAACTTTCATGTACACGCAAAACTACCAAAAAATGTGTGAACTTATAGTCCATTAAATTAGGTAGGAAAGTTGAATTTGCAGTTATTTACAGGCCCAGTTATACAGAAGGTTGAACCAGATGCCAAATTTGGAAATTAAACAAGTTGAGGTTTTTTTCTCACAAGAACACCAAGCTGTAGTGGCTTATAAAAATGACAAGCCACAGACTGCTCTAGCCGCACTTTTTTTACGACATGATAGAAGCAGTGTGCACATATGCACAACACTGTGGAAAGGGTAGCAGTTCATAATGATGATGCTGATGATACAATGTATAATACATTGTTAAAGCACGCTAGAACAATTCCTGCGAGTGTGCCAGTTTGTAACTAGTTCATGGTATAATGTACTGCATCAAACAAACAGAGGAAATTGAAGTAGAGACCGATTAATTGAATACATGTTAAATTCAAGAGCAAGCACATATGTCACTGGTACATGGGCAAATCAATGATTTCGGACAACAGTTCAAAACATATCACAGCAATGGAAAAGAGCAAGGCTAACAGTAAAAAAAATGCGAGGCTACGTGCAGTGCAAAGAGTGCTACAAAGGCAAACATTAACACAAGTGCTTCCAAAATTTTTCCAGCATACTAAAAATTAATCCACATATGGAGGGAGTACAGTTTTTGATAGCCATTATTTTGCTTTATCAGCGGTTAACGGACAAACCCAATAAATGTGTAGTGCATAATTCTATTGCGTACAACAGTAAAGTACAAGCCAATACACATTGTAGCACACAGGATCATTAAACAGAATGGTTAGAGGTTGTCTAGTCTAATTTTCTAAGTGTACATCATTCACTATCAGCACAATGTATAGTCTGAAATTTCTACCTCGTAAATTCTGCTACATGTGTAAACAGAAAAAGGAAGGCAGACGTTTTCATTTTAAGTGGCTAGCTAAGAACTAACAGTTTAAATTTGTTAGGTAAATCTACACATTAGCAGGTGCATAACAAAAAGGAATCTGTGCATAACAAAAAGGAATCTAAGTACCGTTCCCCTTCGAAGCTCTAGACCCATGGTTCCTATCGCAGTGAATCCGAATCAACAGAAAGAGCGCATCGATCGTATGTACCTTGACGTTAACCTTGCTCTTGACCTGCATCTCCAGCGCCTCAGTCATGGACTAAAAACAACAAGAGAAGGGTCAAAACAAGCAGTGACGTAGTGTCAGGGACCTGGTAATTTTGAGACCCATACTGTAATGTCGTCAGACCTTGTCGAACTGCAGGAGGACCTGGATGGCGAGCTCTGGGATGACGGCCCCACTGGAGACGAGCTCGTCCAGCGTCTCGGTGAGGTAGGTGCCAATGGTGGACCTCCGGTACAGCTCGAAGGTGGCCATCCCCTGCATGCAACGCCACGCCGGGCCTCAACAGCGTCAGAACACACCGCAGAGAATTACATGTACATGTTGTTTCAGATAAACTAGCAGATAAAGCAGTGGTCATGGCTAGGATGATCAGGGTTACGCACACCCAGGAAACAGGATCGCGGATCGGACATCTCTCAAGTTCAAGTCACGATGAGAAACTCAGACTAGCACGGCATTCCATTCCAAGGCACAAATGAATGAACCAAAAGTAACCGAACACCCCCCGCAATATTAATCACGAATCGATCATCCGTCTAACCCGGGAACTCGGCAGCGTGGCGATCAGCGGCGGCGGAGGCCGAATCGGGGCGTGTAGCTAGTAGCTAGCAAAACCCGCCTAGAAACTCCGGAGATCGAAGGCCTTGCACGAGGCTCACCTGGCGGATCGGAAGGGCACGGATCGGGCGAGGAGGAAAGGCGGATCTGTCGGAACAGCGGCTGTTCCTTGACGGGCGGAGGCGGAGCACGGAGGGATCGCGCCGGGGAGGGGGAGGAGGAGAGGGACTGAGGGAGGCAGAGGAGGAGGGGGAATTCGAAATCTGGCTTCTTATATACGGACGGAGGTGGGAGAAGGAGAATTGGGGACACGCCTTATATAGGACTAGGAGGAGCCTAGGACTAGGACGGAGGTTCTTGACGGGCCTGGTTTAGGCCCCGTTTAGATCTTCTCTTTTTTTATATTTGGTTCACTGTAGCATTTCGTTTATATTTGATAATTAATGTCTAATTATGGACTAATTAGGTTCAAAAGTTTCGTCTCGCGATTTCTCATCCAACTGTACAATTAGTTTTTTTTTCGTCTACATTTAGTACTCCATACATGTGCCGCAAGATTCGATGTAACAGGTACTGCGTAAAATTTTTTGGAATCTAAACAGGCCATTGCAAGTTTTTCACTCTCTCTATCACATTAAATTTTTTAGACAGATGCATGGAGTATTAAATATAGATAAAAAAATAACTAATTACACAGTTTGATTGTAAATTACGAGACGAATCTTTTGAGTCTAGTTAGACCATGATTGAACAATAATTATCCAATACAAATAAAAATACTACAGATATCGAATACTGATTCCTAACCTCAATATAAACGAGGCATTGTTCGGGTTCATTCTCTTCCGCATGTCGGCGCCAATTATCGACCCTACCCCTCTCTCCATTGCCCATTTGGCATACAGCTGTCAGCTGTACAGGGACGACCGCACACGTCTCGTCTCGTCTCGTCTCGTCTCCTTTGGCTCTTTGTCCTATTTCTTCTTCTCTTTTTACTAGCAAAGAAGTTACACTTCTTTTACACTCGATTGACATTTATTTGTTATTTCACAAATTTCTAGCTAAATTGACATTTAAGCGGACACCAGATCATGGGAACAAAGTGCTTTCATATTCTGTAAGCATGATGCAAACACTTTCTGTGATGGACTTCCTTCATCGCTTTCGTTTTATTGAACTGATACGTTGCTCATGATATTATAGATTTCAAAACTCTCATTAGTAAGCCTCTAAATGTGGAGTACAACGCAAAGGAATTGAGGAAGGGTAACAATGCAAATGCAAATAAATCACACAAAAGTCTACTAGCAGTTCCTCTCTAGAGCTCCGGCCCATGTGGCAATCTACGGCCGTCCATCCCCAAGCACCACCATGGTGGTGTTCGCTGGTAGGAGGAAACTAGTCAGCCGGCTGGTTCCCCTCACGTGACACTGTTCATTCATTCAGTCGAATAGTGTTTTTTCTCACAACAAATTCCAGGCGGAATAGTATTTTTCAGCTAAGTTTTAGACCAGCGAACGGGGCCCATTTCCTAATCTACAAGCATAACAAGTTTATCACCCAAGAACACCGGTGTCCTCATCGAACAATCAGGGAGCACCATCTACAAGCAGAGGCCGAGCCTCGTGGAGGCGAAACGGGGCGTTGGCCCCCTAACTCTGCAAAAAAGAAGAGTGACCGGCTCTGTGAAACTAAAGCCCAAAGCAATTAAACTAGACGAGTCATATAGGAGTAGGCGCATAGTTGTGACTGTGTGCAGGTAAAGAAGGAACAAAAGACAGAGCATGGTAGGAGTAGGCTCACTCATAGCTGCGAGCCTGAGACTGAGTACAGGTAAACAACAAAAGACAGCATGGGTAGCTTACATGCATGCCATATGGAGTGGTGATAGGATCATGGGAATATGTGCTTTCAAAGTTTAGATTCGTGCTTGTTTTTGGCTTATACAGGGAAGTTTTGATAGCTACAGTAGCAGCGTTTAAAATTAGGCCCCCCCTCAATTTTCACTCACCCTCTGCCACCGTCTACAATGCCACGTAATTCTAACATGAAGGGTTCGTGTTACACATGTGGTGCATATGAGCACAACTCCAATGGGTGTGGACACAGAAATTCTACGCTTAAGGGCTCATGCTCCTACACATATGACCATTGGATTTGTTTTGGGATGTGCACCAACTTTATAGTCCAGTTGGTATGCAGCTCGTACTTTTCCTATAGAATTTTCTATCCACAGTATTTGGGTCTGACACCATCTAATGTTTTGTTAGTATTCACCTTAGGACCTCTCATACGACTTCTCTCTCTCTCTACCCACCTCCCTCCTGTACCAGCAGGTGGCGCCCTGACTCTCGACGGTAGCACAGTCGCGGCCCCCCAGACGTGCGCATGGACCTAGACACGCCCAGACGTGAAGATAGGCCATGACAATGCTGGGAAGAAGAAAGGTGTAAAGTAAAAAGGACGATGACAGGATAAGGCCATGTTGTTCCCACGACATATGCTTGGTACATGGGTCCGACCTTGTATACCTATCCAACGAAGTGTGTGTGTGTCTCTATATAGAGAGAGAGAGAGAGATTTTACTGAGCTAGAGTAAAAATGGCACACATCTCGAGACTATCCCATCAACAGTTGCATGACTATCCCATCAACAGTTGCATGTGTGGGAGCATAAGCCCTTAAGGGAAGATTTAACTTTCTCCAATGGGTATCTCCAAAATTAAGAAGACGGAAATTGTCCTCAAGTAGCAACTCTCCTTATCAGTCACGTGCTCCAGCTCCCGGACATGGTGGATAACAAGCCCCTCGCCCTACATCAAAACTAAATCAAGGCTATGCATGTGGTCGTGTTCATCACATCAATGCTGAACAAGCTCAAGATGCTCATGAAGTGGGAGAATGGGTATGTTTCTTGTGCACTCAATTTCTACGGTTGTGTTTTTTTATTCTGGTGTATCACACTCATTCATATCAAGGAAATTTGTGCAACGACATGGGCATCCTAGTTAGCTTCTTAGGCCCTGTTTGGGTGTTCTGAAATTTTATGTACCTGTAAATGCAATACTACTGTAATTTGTTGGGCACAAGAAAACCCTTGGAATGCAAATGATTTTTACACCCCTAGAAAATGTTGTTTGGGTGAAGGGTATATATTGAAATGCTTGCAGGTGTTCTTAAACTGAAACTGCAACAGAGAGAGTGGTTAACATTAACTTGGGACTTGTTTAGATTGGGGTTAGGAATCAGTACTTGACACTGTAGCACTTTCGTTTGTATTTGATAATTATTGTTCAATCATGACCTAACTAGGCTCAAAAGATTCGTCTCGTAATTTACAATCAAACTGTGTAATTAGTTATTTTTTTATCTACATTTAATACTCCATGCATGTGTCTAAAGATTTGATGTGATGAGAGAGTAAAAAAACTTGCAATCTAAACAAGGCCTTGGATCTTGGAATTGAATTTGGATCTCGAAGTTTGGAACTGATAAATTGAAGAATTACATAGCAGAAACACATTCGCTCATCAGCAAACCAAAGCAGAAAAGACAAGAGAGTCGACGAGTGAAAAGAAAAGAAAAGCCAACTCGTACTGCTCCTGTGCTCCACTGCCTGAATCCTCGCTCGTCCCTCTGCCTTGTCAGTGCCCTGTTGCCGTGCTGCCCGCCTTAGGTGGGCTCGTGTGTCTCATGGCCTATACTCTACCCGGAGCCGGCGAAATAGCTGCAGTTCCATCGAGTCTGCCAGTGCGCGCGGGCGGGCGGGCGGACGCATGGCTGCGCCGCTCGATTCGCCGCCGCCGGGCTCTGGATCGCCGGATTCGAGTTCCGACGCGAGGAGGAACAGGAACAAGCCCGTGCTGAGACCTTGGGGCTGCACCGGAGGCTAGCAGTGGGGTCGCTACGGTGGCCTTTCGTGCGTGTGGTGGGCGTGGCGAAGCGGGGGTGTTGGTGCGCTCTGGCTCTGAGCCAGGATTTTTCGCATAAAATTTTTTATTTTAAATATGTAATAGTAATAAGCAAAGCACAAGGTCTAAAAAATAGTGGCATAGGTTCTTCAAATTTCTAAACCTTTCATCTCTACGCACATAAGAAATGTACATAGTGAGCCGATATGAGTTTTGACAATTCATCTGAACTGCTGTGTTAGTGTGCTCACCTTGGTTCAATAACCTTCAAGGCTCAAGGCCTCAAGCAGTAAGCCGGAGCCGAACCGTGGCTGTCGCGGGCTGCCGGAGCGCGGGCTAGTCGCCGCGCCGAGCTGGGCTGCTAGCGTTAGCGCAGCGCCGGCATACGCGCCAAGCAGAGTCACGCTTCATTGTGCCGCGAAGCGCCACAGGCCAAGGGAAGGGGCGATGGCGAGGGGAGGGGCTTGCGGCGTCGCCGCCAGGCGCCTGCGTGCCCGCAAGTCTCGCCGTCGCCGCCGATGCCGATGGGATCCTTCCTTCCACCATCGCTCTCGGCTATCTGCGCGCTGCCTCGCTGCCGCCTCCTGCACGAGATTGGTGCGGTGCGATGCGGCAGTAGCCGTGAAATGGCTCGCTCTTTTTTACTTTGGTGGGGTCGATAATCGGTGCTTTCTGTTGGGCTTTGGGCCAGATTTGCAACATCTAGTAACTATACAGGTTATACCATTATACGTATACATATATGTATTTGTGTTTGTTTAAAAAATCTTGGGTATTCCATGGCATATAGGG